CACCTGCTAGTAAATTATTTGCCATGTAGAAATATCATTTCTACCAAAAACAGTGATTGATCAGGTTAGCGATGTCTGACTGCTATTATTTTGAACACGACTGTACAGACAGCAATAAAAACCTAACACGTTCTAATCATTTCCAACTCTACTAGAAACATGTTCCTGTTGCTGTTTATATACTGATTGTTTAGGTTCCAATCATTTCACAGTAACTGCACATAAAACAAGGGAAATTCTCCCCAGTAGAAATACACCCTAAATGAAAACTTGGCAGATATTCTAGCACTTTAACCAAAACAGAGCTTTAAATTGTAATTACATATACAATATATAGTACTTTATGGGGTTGATTTTAGTGATGCTTTACCACATTCACTAATCTATGAGGAAAATGAATGCAACTTAACTTAACTCGATCTACTGATCTACTTCTGTACAACCAGCCTGCCAGATTTTTCCCGATCGATCAGTGCCACTTACTACAGCCGGCAGCACTGATTTGTATTCTAATGGCCAGGAAGGCTCCCCATCATCCGAGTACAATAGCACAAAGGGAGGATGTTTGGATAGGGGAATCGGGTAATTTTTTTCAATCTGCTGGTTGTCCGAAAAAAAATGATGAATATATGGGTTGTCTTATGTTTCATCAATGCTTAGTCCTGACTATTTGTGCTGTGCATTGCAACTAACCACATTACAGCTATGTTTATAAAATGATTGAAAATGTGATTGGTCAGTGGGCAAAACTTCCACTTTTCCTTTTCTTCAGTCACCATGAACCTTCTATTTAGAGGACAGCCTTGAATGTGAGTATGTACGGTATACTAGATATTATTTTATGGTAACCACTTCCCGACCGGTCGTTGTATATAAATGGCTGGACGGTGGCACTGCAGGGTCGGGTGGCTGATTATAAACGGCCTACCTGCACTCTGCTTGTGCCTGCTCCCTGGGAGCGTGCAGCACCGTGATCCGGTGCCCGCTGTGTCCTCCGGACACAGTGAAACACCGACCGTCGGACGGGACCTCTGTACGAGGTCCCGATCATGTGATCACTGATTGGCCAATCAGTGATCACATGCAAAGTAGTAACAAGATGTCACTTGTGACATCATTGCTTACTACATGTGAAATCTGTGAATGATCACAGAGGTCACATGGTACAAGGCTATTCACAACAGCCTTGTACTATGTGACAAGCTGTGACCAATCACAGCTCACTCAGTACTTCTCAATGACTGCAAGAATGCAGACAGAGAGAAAGAGAAATGATTGCTTTTATACCCTATATGGGTGTAATAACAATCAGTGTAAAAAAAAAATCTTCATCACCCCCCACAAGTAGTACAGTGTTACCATGGTAACACTGTACTGCTAGGGTGACAGTATGTAAAAAAAAAATAAATAATAATATAAAAAAATAAAATAAAAATGTAAAAAAAAATGGTTAAAAATTATAATTTTTGGTTATAAACTAATTTGGATTTTTTTTTTCCTTACTAAAAAGATAACGGAATAAATTTTGGCCAAGATTTATGATGAAATATTATTTATTTGCAAAATTTTATTTAAAAAAAACACTTTTTTTCAAAATTTTTGGACTTTTTCATTTACATAGCAAAAAAAAAAAAAAAAATGCCAGCGGTGAATAAATACCACCAAAATAAAGCTTTATCTGTCTTAAAAAAATGGTAAAAATTCATTTGGGTACAGTGTTGCATGACCGCGCAATTGTCATTCAATGTCTGATAGCGCTGAAAGCTGAAAATTGCCCTGGTCAGGAAGGGGGTAAAAGTGTCCGGTCTGGAAGTGGTTAAAGGCAACTCACCTCACTGCCATCAATGTGGCAAACACATCCATGTGAATGCTCTAATAATAACCTTATTGTCATTGCTTCCGAAAGGCATTCATCCCAAAGGCACTGTTATTGACAAAATAATTATTTGCCCATTTCATCAAAGCAAATATTAATGAAATTGCATGCTCATCTGTGTCACAGTTAAAATGTTCATACATATTTTAAAGTTATAGCCATATGTTTGGTGGCTTGTTTTTCCTATGATGCTATGCACAGCATCATTATAAACTTTAATGCACACTGCTAGGTATTAAAAAAGGGAATGTGTCCTCTCCTGTTCATCTATGGGCTCTATGTTCCCTAACACACTGTGTATGTGGGTGCAGCAGGGTTATTCTGTACTGCCACTCTGTCTAGTAAAAGGGTTTTAAAATTCAGGACCATTTATTTAGAAGGTCACCCTTGTAATGCTTCTAGGATAATGATGATGTATTCAGCATCACAGTCCTGACATCAGCCTGGGGCCACAGCTCCAGAGTGTGACATCGTTTGACTGGTTTTCTTTAATGGCACATAGAGCTCATTTGCTAGTCTCTGCAAATCTCTCTAGTCATTATGTAGCACTGTAGCCATGACTTGTTAACGTTTTGCCAAAATTGTGGGATTTGGTGACATGCCAAAAGACCTCAAGGTTGGTTGCCCCATTTTCAGTATGTAATGCTCATGTCCTGCAGTTATAGTGCTCACTTACTGAGCTCCAGTGGTATCTATCAGAGCAGACCTGGCGAATTGCAGTCCCGGGCCACATCCGGCCCTTTGGCTTTCGCTATCTGGCCCTCATTGCCTCTACAGTCCATGCAGAGAGCTGCAAGAACTGGAAGGAGAGATTCTGAGGAGCTGATCAGTACATGTCCCAAATCTCTCCCAACACTCTGCTACTCGGCCAAGTTCTTCCTGTTTTAGTGCCTGCACGCTGAAAACTCCAGGAGCCGTGGATCTGTTGCTCACTCAAGGTCAGGATCTGCATAAATCCTCACTGTAACGATCTAAGGCCCTCTCCTTCCAGTCACGGTGCTTTCAGATGGCATTTGACAGGCAGAGAGGAGATGTTTTGTCACCACCTCCCTACTGCCTCATTAAACCCTATAATGCTGCTCTACATCAGTGCAATAGCTCTATTGAACTCGGTAGGCCCGTTTGACAAGCAGTGTGACAGATTGTCTCCAAGCCACTGTTTAAGAAATTTTCATTTTTCATTGTTTTTGGTTTCTCTTATTTGTGTATTAGTAAATCTTTTGTTTATTTACTCCTCTGCAAATTTATATTCAGATATGTATGTATTTCCATTACTCTGTACCATTGCACTGAATCACATTCAAAGAAGTTTGACTGATATTGATATTATGTACACATTTTAGGATGAAGATTTAAATGAGCTTCAGTCTGCCAAAACAAGTGAAGTAGCACAAGAAGAACCTCAAGAAAAATCAGACAGTATGTTGAACATTGCGTTTTATTTTCCTTTCTCCTACAGTATGCATATTTGTGATTCAACACAGAACATCCCAGCAAATGTACTCATTGCCAAATTTGGCAGGTTAATAATACGTAGAATTTATAGAAGCTTCCATTCTATTTTTCATGTAGATTGTTAAAACCTCGTTAAAGGAAATCAGTCAAGAAAGAAACATGAAGGCTGCCATTACTACCTAGAGTTAGTTGCCTGGCTATCATGCTGACTGAGTGGCTGTTATTATTAAAGTCCTTGTTCCAGAACAAGTATTCAGATGCATACCTCTGGCTTTGTGCGCATTTTCATTTTTTGAATTATTCCAGGAAAATGACTTCAAAATAAAGACTAAAGCGATCCTATTTGCGAAACTTGGGAAGTAGAAATGTAGAAATTATAATCAGATTGGATCTGTGTCTGCAGTCTTTGGGTATAACATTCTTGTCGGTGATTGGGAAGCATAAAGAGGGGTTTCAGCTAAGGCTTTTGTTTACTGATTAGTCTGCTATCCATAGTGAATATCCATAGTGAAGGATTGTGCACCAGGCAAATGATCACGATCTTCTTTGTTAGGCATTTGGTTTAATTAGGAGCATGAAGCATGTAAAATTAGTTCCTGTAGATGCCGACTCCACCTCCCTTCCTGTCCAAGTGTAAAAGAGAATGTGACATGGAGGCTGCAGGAGCCCATTGTGCCCCCCGATGCTACACTAGTGGTTAGGGGTTGTAGTAAAAACAAGTGTCAACTATAGGGTTTTACAACTCCCAAATCACAGATGTAAACTTACTGTCCTCATCCCAAGGCTGCTTTCACACTGATGTGCTGCGGTTTACCCACAACACAGTGCACCTGCAGCTTTGCTATAGACTTCGATTATATCTTATGGTTGTGGTGCAGTTTTTGAAAGCGCACCAAAACTTGTTCATTCAGGAGTTTTGGTGCGGTTTCTGAAAGCGCACTAAACCCGCAGGATATTATTGCTGTGCACATCCTTGGTTTGAAGTTGAGGGCTTTGAGGACCACGTGTTCAGCACCTTGCCATAGAGTGATATGCTTTGTTCATATTTCATGTCCTGAGGTTTACAACCACTTTAAAGGTAATGAAAAATGTGGCATGCAACTGCTCTGTTAGAGGATACCCATTTAAAATGCTAGATTTAGGGTATCTGACTTTAAAAATCTCTAAAAACCGCTAAACTATGAAAAATTCATAGTTTAGGTAGTACTTTTTGAATTTTCAGTGAGAAAGGTCATCATTGGCAGCTTACATATTTCTTTCAGTATATGTTTCCTTTAAAAAGCCTGCTTTGTGGTGAGATATTGCCTTTGGCCAAGAAATAGACTGCTCTGAAATGTCTGCCTTAAAATAAAAAGAACTGCCCTGGAGTAAAAGAGAGAGACTCATCCTGGAATGCCTACCATATAGAGATGAAGTACCGAGGAAAGTGTACCACACAGAGATTAAAGTGATATCACAGTTCACATGAGCCCACAGGGAAGTCAAGACCTGCAAGGGGAACGATAGTATGCTTTCCTGTACATCCATGTGGGTTAGTAAAGCTGGCAATACGAGGGCAGCAGTATTGTCCTTCCACTGTATTGCCAATATTAATAAGTTGACAGAGTTTTGCACGTGTTCAGGGTTTGTTACAACAGCTGGTGGGAGGTATGTGTGTAGTTTGTGCAAAATGCATGTTGATGTAAATTTTTATGATATATTGCATCATGTAGATAGTATAACAGCTCAAGATTCAAAAGGACAATCAAGCCCAACTGAAGAAGTCCCTCTTCCTGAGACTGATATCAATCTGGAAATTTCATTTGCTGAGCAGGCTTCTAATGTCAAAGAGTTTTTTCTGCAGTCAGAAAATGAGAAGGAAGATGACACCTTGTTACCAGTAAGTTGGCCTTTATGTTATGAAAGTTCGTTATAAATGCAAAAAGACAGCACATTTAGTTTTTCTTGTTTTTCTTCGTTTCTATTGTAAAATTATGCAGACAGGTAATTTTTCTCCTTCACTGATGTGCGTTGATGAGGCTGCACTGATAGGTGGCACAGATGAGGTGACACTGATAGGCAGCACTGATGGGCACTAATAGGTGGCACTGGGCATTGATGTGGAAACACTGATGGGGCTGCACTGATATGTGGTACTGATGGTCACTGATAGGCGGTAAATATGGGCACTGACAGGTGGCACTGATGGGCACTAATAGGCAGCACTGAAGGGCGCTGATAGGTGGCACTGACGAGCACAGATGGGCAGCACTGTCGGGCAGTGCTGGGCAGCACTGTTAGGCACTGATGGGCACTTTTGGGGCTGCACTGATAATCCGTGCCCTAAATATGAGTGCAGATGCAGATAACAGTTGCCGGTTATCTGAAGAACTGTGACAGCGTGAGGAAAGTACTCCCGATAACCGGCAAGTGTATTTACATGGTGATCAGCTGAGATTGGACACCGCTGATCACTTGGTAAAAGGCTACTGTGATTTGGCCTTTTACTATGTCATGTGATCAGCTGTGTCCAAAGGACACAGCAATCATAGAGAGTGCCAGGTGCGCGCTGCTGGGGGCGCACGGGGGGTGCATTCTGGGAGCATGTCATATGACGCCCTCCCAGAACTGGACGACTGCGCTGTAGCCATCATTCGGCTATGGAGTGGTCAAGTGCTTAAAGCACACCCCCTAATCCATCCATGTTTCGGTGCTTTATTTTGCTGAGAAATCACTTAGAAAAACAGTCCCTAGCATTTCTGGCCATGGCCATTATGAGTAAGGGTAGATGATTCTTGTAGCAATTACTGCCTGGAATCCATCTGCCATTAACTCAGGCATGCAGACAGTATGGTGTGCTTAGCTGAGAAAACCCCTCCTTCCCTTCTAAACATTCCTGGAATGTATGACATCATTTGCATAGGTATGGGAAATAGAAAGTAACTAAAGAAATGTAAAAAAACACTTTAAGAAAAGTAAGTATGATATACTTTTTATCTATTTACTAATGCTAGCAGCATAAAGAATGAAAATAGTCAATGTTAATTGAAGTTCTGCCTTAAATATACCATGGTGCTACAACCTTTTTTTTCAGGAATATTTTGAGCTTCCTCTATTGTATTGTGGATTCCCCACAAGCATGTGATGTGCTTAGATCCAATTACATTTTGAAACAAGATTTTATATGTAGCTTTCACAACGTGCCTGTGGATTCTGTAATTGATTGTTAGCTGCCCACGTCTGTTCATTTACATGGCTACTTTGTACATAAAATATGGTTAACAGGTTTTCATTCCACATACACAAAATGTAATCTCAATATCAAGGTTAAGGGTAAATCTTTGTGTATTAATAAAGTGTATTAATAAAATGAGTTAAATATAAAGTAATCCTATGTAATGGTGGGTCATATAATTCAGATCTACAGTGTTTATGTGTATATAGCTCATGGACACTGTTAATAGCAATTGTCCGTATGAGCATTTTATGATTTGAAACTGAACCCCAAGCAAACAGATAACTACACAGATGAAACATATATATGGCAACTATTTTATTTGCCAAAGGATTTGTATTTCTGTCCATCATTCTTGAGATTCACATAGCTTTGCCCCATTGCAAACCCCTCTCTGGAAGGGAGGGAACCTGATCTTTCTCTCCAGCAGTTCGCCTTTCACTTACATGTCTTCTCTCTCATCTCTGTGACTGGACAGTGAAAGGAGAAGCATCACACTGATGAACTCATCTCTCTTTCGCTGTACTTCCCTCCTATCAGAATACTGTAGAACACCTAACTGTCTCCTTGTACTGCTTCTTTCCCTCTCTGCGTTTTGCTGTATAGATTGTACAGTAGAGTGCAATAAGTTAATAAATCAAATTCAGATACATGCACTTTTTTTAACCACTTCCCGTCTGCCCACAGCCTATAAATGGCAGACGGGAGGCAGCGCTGATGCAGGTGAACATACCTGTACATCAGCCTGCATCGGAGACTTCTGCGTGTCTCACAGAGCGAGCCCCCAGGAGCCCTGTGATCGGTGTGTCGCCCGGACATACCGAATCATATTACATAGTATACAATGCAAACTGAAAGTAAGCATCAGTTGTCTCTGCTCTCACTGTGAGAGCAAAGAGAATAGGGGCTGCAGTCTGTGAGTGTACAGTGGCCTGTGACAGTGCATTTACACTCACATACTGCAGTGCCAGCCTGCTCCAGTGTCCTGATCACTGCCCCAAGTGTACTACAAACAAAGTGCAGCCAGCCCCTGTCATCTGTCCCAGTGTCATCAGTACGCACAATAACACCACCATACCAACGTCCTGGTCACTGCCATCCCCCATACAAAATTCTTGATCACCGCCATATGCTATACCAACCTCCTGATCACTGTCATACCCCATACCAGCATCCTGATCACGGCCATAGCCCATACCATTGTCCCCATCACCGCCATTCCAGTGTCCTGATCACCGCTATACCCCATACCTGCATCCTGATCATCACCATACTAGCTTCCTGATAACTGCCATACCCATACCAGTGCCCTGATCACCGCCACACACTATACCAATGTCCTGAACATTGCCATACCTCATACCAGCATCCTGATTGATTTTCAAAGTTAGTTTGTACACTTTATAACTTTTACACAGACTATATAATATACACTGTTTTGGGTTATGTTTTGTATGAAGAAAGGTTATTAATTTGCAAAATTTTATAACAAGAACTAAGAAAAATGTTTTTTTTTCAAAATGTTTTTTTTTTATTTTATATCTAGCAAAAACATAAAAAACCCATGGTGATCAAATACCACCAAAAGAAAGCTCTATGTGTTTCAAAAAATGAAAAAAAATATATTTTTGAGTAGAGTGCTGCATGATTGAGTCATTGCCATTCAAACTGTGAGAGTGCTGAAAGCTGAAAATTGACCTGGGCAGGAAGAGGCTGAAAGTGGTTAATAAAAAAAAAATTGATGTATAAAAGATTTACAGAGTTGCATTATTTGTGCCTTTATATTTGCCTGGAGTTCAGCCTTCATTTTGATAGGAATGTCATGTATTGTAGCCTACTAGTCAACTGATGTGGTGGCTGCCCTTTTTGTAGGCATTTTTATTTTTTATTTTTTTTCAACATGATCCTGCCAGTAACACCCTTCCTAAGGGTGACAGTGCACGCGCACTGTACTGTATTTATAAAATGTCACAGTAGACTGCTTGCTGCTAATCAAAATTAGAGAATGTTTAGCCCTCTCCTCACGTCCATAACATGAATGCTAGATTTCTAGCAGAATCAATGACTATTTTTTGTAGTTATAACAAATTGATGGTATGTTTTAGTATGTTTAAAAGTCCTATTGTAAGAAAATAAGCGAATATCATAGGGTTACATAAACTTTTATAATATTCCTAAAAAAATAAATACTGCCACACTGAGATTGTCAGAGTATGCACTGAGACGCTATTTAGGACATAGAGCAGCATTTATGATTTGGGAATCTTGTCTGAGTACTGTCCATGATAATTTTTTTATGGCTACAATCACCTCAAGCAGGAATCTCATCTAATAGACTAAGCTGTGTTTTTATTTATGGGTTGAAGCATTGGTCACATATTAATGGCTAATCTAATTGTCATTAGTACAGCTGTGGATTAAATAACAATTTCCTGTTTTTTAGAACTACAGACTTCCACAAGACAAAACTGGAATCACTAAGATTGGTGACTTAGCCCCACAGGATATGAAAACGGTGACTTCTCTAGCTCTCATTGAGCTAACTGCACTGTATGATGTCCTGGGAACAGAACTTAAACTTCAACGAACTGCCAAAGTAAAAGTAAATGGTTAGTGTTATTGAAAATGATTTCACAGTGGATCTGCCCATAAGATCTAACATAAGAGCTCAGTATTTGTTATTTAATAAAGTAACAGTATTAGATATATATTTAAATATACGTATATATTTGGAATCCTGTGTTAGACCGTTAACATGGTTTATCTTGTGTAGAGACTGGCGTTTTCCGGGTACCGCTCTCTGTTTTATTGGAACAAGATCAGAAGAAAGTACCAGGCACAAAGGTCCCTCTCATTCTTCAAAGTGTAGGTCATTTTTTTCTTTTTAAGTATTCAATAAATGTATAGATACTAGCTACACCCCCCATTATGTATTGGGGGGCTTGATTCCTCTACTGGGCTTTCACAGTTCCTCAAACTCCAGTAGGGGGATGTTCCCACATCCTTGCCTAGCATTTAATGTCTAAACTTTACGAACTGTCTAAACTGTCTTTTTCTGAAAAGGCCAGTTGCCTGGCTGCCATACTAGACCCCTTACTTGCCTACTTTCTGAATTACTTTACTAATTCAGAATAACTGCATTTAGATTAAGGCTCCAGTCTTTTCTGTGGCACTGATCTGCATCCTAATTTTGGTTCCGTGATTTAGAAAGAATTTAAGCCAGTTTGTAAACTTAAAAGCCACAATACTGGCATGTTCAGAAGCAGATACTTCTCTCTTGACAGGTTTTCTTTAACTTTAAGCTGAACTCAGTTATTATGTCCTAAATGCGAATCCTATGTTGAATAAATTACAGAAGCAAGATATGAAATTGCTCTAGTGGATTCTGCATATGTATTTTTTGAGGAAATCCTTTCAGCATATTACACTGAAATTTATTCTAAAAAAATGAATTAACTAGCTTCAGCTAAGTGGGGGGGATAGGGCGAGGATCTTCAATTAAGTTTGCCAATGTTCTGTAAAGACCTGGAACATTTCCATCCAAACGGGGAGTCCAAATCATTTGTACTGTGATATATTCTGTAATTCTCACACTATTTATATACATAAAACCAATTGTGTTACATCTTCTATATTTACAATATCAGTCATGGCAAATTAATACACACTTTATTCAAATTCAACCTACCCCTATTTTTGAAGCGTGATGTAACCTATGGAGGTCGATTTATAAATGTTAACATAAATATTGCCACAACTTTTACCCAAGATTTTTCTGTTGAAACCCCCTTATTTAGACTGTGGATCCCCTTTTTCTGCAATAATAGTTTGTATTTTTGCTCTTTTTTTAGCTGATTAGCCTCATAGAAAAGGGTGGACTGAATACAGAAGGTGTTCTGAGAATACCTGGAGCTTCTTCAAGGGTTAAGGTAATATAGGTTACTTTGCATTTTTTTTACTGATGTTTTAGCACATTATTCAAGGTCTGACACAAAAAATTTAATTTGTGCCTGTGCTCTTTTAATTTAACAAATTAAGAAAATCATCACCTTCTAAATATTACCCTTTTGAGTTTATACACATCCAAAGCTGCCAACGTCCAAAGCAATTCTGCAGATAATTTTTGAAAGGTGCTTGAGGATCTCTGGCATTTATGCTTTCACATCATCTGCCGACAAAAAATTGGTTCCTCTTTTGTACCAGCTTGATATATGGGAAGAGGTAGAAGTGGTTCCCGGATCATATGTATGTAAATATCCATGTTTCATCACAAGTAATTACCAAATTCAACAAATCTGGTGAATACATTGCAAAAGGTCCAAACACAATTTCCTGCAATGTTCTTTTTGTTCATCTGGTGGAATTTTTGGAACCATTTTTGTATAAACCTTTTTTGTATTTAATTCTTCCGTAGGATTGCATCACTTTCCCTGTCCAAATGAGCTTTCTCAGCTACTGCTTGAACAACAAATCTGGTGAATACATTGCAAAAGGTCCAAACACAACTCCTTGCAATGTTCTTTTTGTTCATCTGGTGGAATTTTTGGAACCATTTTTGTATAAACCTTTTTCGTATTCAATTCTTCCGTAGGATTGCATCACTTTCCCTGTCTAAATGAGCTTTCTCAGCTACTGCTTGAACACGCAACATACTGCTTTCAAATAATATCTCACACTTTTAATGTTGTCATCGGTAACTGCTGTGCGTGGACAGCCTAAGCGATCATCATCTTTCACGATTTCTTTGCTTCCTGAAAATCATTTGTGCCATTTAACCACTTCCCATCTGGCCCATGTACATAAATGGCCAGACGGGAGCAGTGCAGGAGTGGGTTGCCGTTCATAAACGGCGCACGCATTTACAGCCTGTGCACGCTCCCTGGGAGTGCGCGGCACCTAAATCCGGTGCTCTGGACACAGGAGAACACCGATCGCTGTACGGGACCTCTGTGTGTGTGTGGTCCTGATCATGTGATCACTGATTGGCCAATCAGTGCACATGAATAGAAGTAAGCAAGATGTCACTTCTGACATCATTGCATTGCTTACTACTTGTGAAATCTGTGAATGATCACAGAGGTCACATGGTACAAGGCTATTCACAACAGCCTTGTACCATGTGACAAGCTGTGACCAATCACAGCTCTCACGGTATTTCTCAATGGCTGCAAGAGAAATGATTGCTTTTACACCCTTTATGGGTGTAAAAGCAATCAGTGTAAAAAAAAAAAAAATCTTCATCACCCCCCACAAGTAGTACAGTGTCACTATGGTAACACTGTACTGCTAGGGTGACAGTATGTAAAAAAAAAAAAAAAAAACATAAATAATAATATAAAAAAATTAAAATATAAATGTAAAAAGCTTTTTTGAAAAATTAAAATTTTTGGTTATAAACTAATTTGGGTTATGTTTTTTTTTTTTTTTTTTTACTAAAAAGATAACTGAATACATTTTGGCCAAGATTTATGAAGAAAGATTATTTGCAAAATTTTCTAAAACACTTTTTTTTTTAAATTTTGGACTTTTTCATTTATATAGCAAAAAAAAAAAAAAAAAAAATCCCAGTGGTGAATAAATACCACCAAAATAAAATTTTATCTGTCTAAAAAAAAAATGCAAAAAAAAAAAAATCATATTGGACAGTGTTGTCATTCAGAGTGTGATAGCACTGAAAGCTGAAAATTGGCCTGGACAGGAAGGGGGTAAAAGTGTCCAGACTTGAAGTGGTTAAAAATGAATGCACGAGACATGAACTCTTCACCATAAGCCAAGGTCTATAGTTGAAAAGTTTCTGTTGTCCAATTTTTCAGTTTCTCAAGGAACTTGACTTGAAGTCCCTGTTCAGTGTTGCATTTTGCGACTAAAGCTAAGAAAATTAATATATTTGAACACGTGTAATGAGTGAAACAATGCAGATGAGCCTTGTCTCCCTGTGACAGGTTAGAGCATGTTCGATAGCCAACTCTTTGTCTCTCCCATCTCACTCTTGGTTTGCGAGCTGTAGTGGCAATCCCTCTTTATTGTGTTGGATCTCACATGTATATCAACATAATTAATTCTGTAGAGAGGAAGAGGAAAATTGGTTGACCAATTACTATGCCTCCTAGACATTCTATGCTGCTGGGTTTTTTTTCTACGCCAGCCTTCTGTGTAATGTTATATGCAGTATTAATGGCTAACTAGGTGCACAGAGAGCATCAAGTCTGCCTAAGCAATTCATTCCTACATGACTGGGGTTAATTGAAATACCCTTTTTTTCCCCTTTCCCCCGTTTTCAACCAGCAACTTATATATAATTACTTGCAGGAGTCTGTGTTCTAATCCAGGCTGATATTTGTTTTTTTTTTGTTTAAAGCTGAACGACATGCAGATATAAAAGTCACAAATTAATTTAGATCTGTAATTATTCATTTATGATTAAATGTATTTTTTAAATGTAAGTATCTTAATTCGACTTGGTATCCGCGTCTTGCAGTCCCTGTATATCAGAGCTTGGAGTGTAGGAGGCAGAAGCAGCACAAGAAGCTAATTAGGTCATGTGGTAACAAAGAACATGCTGATATGAGGAGAAAGCAGAGTGATGAGCTCATCACTGTACTATTACTTCTTTCACTGTCCAGTCATAAGCTGAGAGTGGGTACATAACAGCCTGGGCTCAGAAGAAGTGATTCATATGATCCTGGCTGTCATTCAACCTGACAGACTGAGGACAACTTTGGCAGACAATGTATTGTGGGAACAGCTGTGGATTGAATTTTACTGTAAAAACTGTGTTTTTAACTTTTTTTTTATTCTTTTTAGTTTGAGTTCTACTTTAAGCTAGGGGGTAGATTACTTTCCAAACCCCAATACTGTTCCTTGTTTTCCAGTAAGGCAGTGTTTCGCAACTTGGTATTTGTTTCTGAAAATGCTGTTGTTTGCTACCCAGTAACATTTTTTTAAATACTGTACCGGACTTGAAAACCTTAAAAACAGCTTTTATCGCAATACCTTCAGTCTGGAGTAGTCTCCCACAATAACTCCTTTCCACCATTAAATGCCACAAGTATTCCAGGCAAAATAATGACCAGTCGTCGTCATGCACCCTGGGCTTACAGTAGTCCTGGACCAAGATGCTTTCACTCAAAGAGGAAGGATCTCTTACTGCTCATCATTGTCTCCAGGACAGGAAATCATGGGAAATACAAACTGTACAACAACCAAAACCGGAAATTAGCAAAAGTCTACAAATTGGGACACTTGTTCTGGTGATACCTGTCAAAGTGGAATTAATCCTCATTTTAGAGTGAATTCATCTTACTTTCCATTGTATGTGAAACATAGGGAAATCTTTGGGGTCTTTGACAAAAAAAAAAAAATAAATAACATGATCAGAGATTTAACCATTTTCTACTGTTCACTACTAGAAAAAGTAAAAACTAATTTTGCCTTTTAGGTATACTTTAAGCACTTCTTTCAGCTCTGAAGCCCTATGCATGTTTCTTCAAAAAACATCTGAGACTAGCACATTTTAGCTGTTCTTTTGTCAGTTCCTATATTTGAGGTTGCTTAGAAATCGTGATCAGGCATATTATGCCTACACTGATGATTCCTGATAATGTGTGACCACAACATCCTATATTCCACAAACATCTCTATCATTGCATCACACACTAATCAGACAGTTTAGTAACAAAAACTTTAAAAAGATTATAGAAAAATTAACCTTTTTTTTAGAATTTGGCTAGATAAAATGATCTCCGGTTTGTCTTTTGGAAGCTTCCAATTTCCTAGAGGAAATGGTAACGTTTAGTTGTGTACATTGTTTATTGAGTGCAAGGGTGAAATCAGTCACCACAACTTCCTAAATTTTCACAGTGCTCTTTTGTCAAGTATGTTAGTCATAAAGCTTCTTCTTTTGGTGCATGGCTGGCAGCATGCTAACCTACATTAAAAAGTCTTAGTAGTTGTAAATGCTATCTAGAAATTTTTTTATCAAAAGATTTAATTCTTTCGGAGGAACTGTTTGTTGGTAGCCATCTCATAAATGCCTCTGGTGCCACTTGTTTTGTATCTGGTTTTAGTACATTTAATTAGTGCTTGGCATTTGCACTATTTCTGATCAGCCTTTTTTTATTGTTTGCAGGCTCTGTGCCAGGAACTGGAAGCCAAGTTTTATGAAGGAACTTTCAACTGGGATACAGTGAAACAACACGATGCTGCCAGCCTTCTGAAGTTTTTCATTCGCGAGCTCCCTCTGCCATTACTCACTGTGGAATACATGAAAGCTTTTCATTCTGTGCAATGTGAGATAATGTTTAATTTAATCATCAATTTTAATATGCAGTATGTTAGCCCTACAGCAGAGCATTTTATTTTACCTAAATTATGTAGTTGTCGCTGTGGTATGAAATCGATTTTGGTTTAAAGCATAGGAAAGCGACAAAGGGGCATTTATGGTAGGAATAATGAAGCTATTGACAGCAGGGCCTTTGGACGTTCCATTATATTCTCTTGCTCAGTATGACACTGTGTCACATCATTACATCATTAACAGATCACAGAGTATAAAGCAGTATGGTAGATCATATGATTCATTTTGCAAGGCTAAGCATTTCACTAGTTAATTGTAAATTAAATATATATCTTTATTATGCACAGTAAGCTTGTGTTCTGTACTTTTTGATTTTGTTTAACAGTTAGGCATTATAAGTTTCATTACAGATCTACTGTAAATTTTACAGATAACCTCTATCCTCCTGTGAACTGCCTCTTTTTTATAGAGTACAATGGAGACCCTGTGCCTTGTTCCAGGGCTAAAGCATGAGTCAGTGTAGCACAAGTTATGACATTTAGACACGATCCCCCACTGATCTGAGCTCTGTGTTTGGGATTATACATTGAATAGGAAGGTCAAGGGGAGCAATAGGGCTTAAATCTTCTATATAGTCTTTTATATTATAACATAGAGGGTTATATACTTTTTTTTTTTCTTGCGTCCCTTTTTCCCATTGTGGACCTTGCTTGCTAACCATAGTTCCATTGTATATAGTTCTCCTTAAAATGTATTTAGACTCCTGCTCACTTATTAATAAGGCCTGACTCTAGCCATAAACATTATTTATTTTTGGAAAGAATGAGAACGATTTCAGATTCTTTTTTACTTCTGTGTCTCACCCCATTGGAGATATATTCCTTCCCTTTCTATCCCTGTTATGCCTTTGTAAAGAATGAGGGGTGGTTCTAATTCATCTTTACTAAAAGTATGTTTTTGTCAATGTCTCTGTTGAAGAGATTTCCCATCATTTCCTGTCCTGAATAAAGGACCTGAGAATGGCTCTAACCATTCCCTACTCTATCCAAAACAGAAAAAACATTTGTTGGCTAAAGTATGGCTTTAAACACAGCAATTAAAATGAAAAAGAAAAAAAAATGAAATGACATTACTTTGCGAGCACCACAAGTGTATGTAAAGGCTATATTTTATTTAGGTTTTTTTTTGGTTAGACTCTCATGTTTTTTTTTATGGTCTATGGCTTGCTGAAGAAATTCACTCTGTTTGTTTCAGTGACCTCTACTCTTGTGACAACTTGCTAAGATAGGAATTCTGTTCATTTTGGAGAGTATTCTTCTCATTTATAGTTGTATGTCTAGGACAGGAAGTGAAAGCAAATCTCCCTAGATGGACAGAGGCCTAAAAATAATAACCTGACAGAGTAAGGAAGGGTTACAACTCCTATCTATAAATAAAACCAAAAACTAAATAAAATATTGCCTTTACATATTCATTGATAGTGCTCAAAAAGTAATGCCATGCTCTTCTTTACATATACTTTAGGTAACTAGACACTAGCTTTCTTTGCACCAGTTTTAATAAATCAGTTCCTATTTACATCAGAACTGAATTGGAAGTTTTACAGTGGTGTATACTGTTTTGTATTGTAGTTCAGTAATAGATGCACCTTTTCTTGTATGGACATAAAGACCTTAACCATTTGCCGCCCACCCTATGGCCGAATGGCGGGCGGCAAATGTCATCAGCGTTCCGGGGGTGGACGCCATATGGCATCAGCGTTCCGGGTGGACGCCATATGGCGTCCTCTCGCACATGCGCATATTGCGCTCCTGCAGAGCAGCGCAGCGGCGTTGCCGATGACAGATCTGAGTATCGGCCCCGTTGCCGGTACCATGTGACCTGCTGTGACCAATCACAGCAGGTCACATGACAGTTGTATACAATGGATGGCTTCATTCATGCCATCCATTGTATACTATTGCCTAGCTGTGAATGGTCACAGCTAATCACATGCACATGTCATGTGATTAGCTGTGGCCAAATCACAGCTAAGCACAAAAAAAAAAAAACCTGAATGAATCGATGTCATTCAGGTAAATGCTTGCTTATAGCAAAGTAATTCTTTGCTATAAGTAAATTGTGTAAGAAAAAAAAAAATACTGATCACTTCCCCAAAGTAGTACAATGTTACTATGGTAACATTGTACTACTTTGGTCATAGTGAAATATGAAAAAAAAAAGAAAAACAAAAAAAAAAAAAAAAAAAAAAAATATATATATATATATTTCATACTGTCACCAGTCAGTGTCCCTGATCACCGCCATGCCAGTTATATGATGATGCTGTACTGCACTGGTGACAGTATGTAAAAAAAAATAGTGAAACTAATTTTTTTCCTTTTTTCATTTTCTGAAAAATTATGACAAAAAAAATACAACTTCAAAAAACTCGCCATGCCTCTTATGAAGTACGTCGGACTGTCTACTTTGCAAAAAGGGGTCATTTGGGGGATATCTGTACTGTTCTGACATTCTTGGACCTCAAAGAATTAGATTGGCTGTCAGTACTTCAGGATTGATCAATATTCAGATCTATACCATAGTTTGTGAACTCTATAACTTTCCTACAAACTAAAAAATACATCCTAATTTGGGTTATTTTCACCAAAGACATGTAGCAGAATACATCTCGGCCTAAATTTATGAAGAACAATTATTTATTTGCAAACTTTTATAACAAACAAAGAAAAACTTTTTTTTTTCAAAATATTTGGTCTTTTTGTGTTAATTTAGCAAAAAATAAAAACCCCAGCGGTGATTAAATATCACCAAAAGAAAGCTCTAGTTGTATGAATAAAATGATAAAATTTTAGTTTGGGTACAATGTTGTATGACCGCGCAATTGTCATTCAAAGTGTGAGAGCGCTGAAACCTGAAAACTGGCCTGGGCAGGAAGGTGTAAAATTGCCCGGTATTGAATTGGTGAAAGTAGAACTATAGGCAGAACTTTTTTTTTTTCCATTTTGGATAGAGCAAGGGAAGGGTTATAAACCCTGTCAGATTTGTTTGCGCCATATGTGTCCAATCGCAGAGATTTCCCTTCTTGTCCCATAGCCAATCAGGAAGTGAGAGGAAATCCTGCAAATTAGGAGAAATACTTGGAGAATCCAGGTCACCGGAACTAGTGTCCCCACTTAAAGATTTAAAAGATTACTTTTCTGGGGACAGCCCAAAATTTGGGATTTTCTTTTACTTTCGCTTTCAATGATAATGGTAAACAGGTCTAATAGGTTGAATTTCTTTGACTGGGGCAAAGACAGCAATAAAAACTGACAAGCGTTTGAATCCCTCTGCACTCAGTATCCAAAGCTAAAAAAAAAAAGTTTTACCTTTGGTTACACTGTAAAGCTGTAAAACATATTGAAGTACTGGATGTAAATTCTCAGCAAATTGCTCCTTAAGACCTCGTTCACATCATATGTGCAGAAAAATGTATGGAAAAAACGCACCGTTTTGAAGCGTGCTCCAATTAGTTTTATACACATTGCAGATTCCTGCACAGAAAAATGTGCACATGATACTAGTGTTATGGTGTGAACAGGGCACATAGAGAACAATTGTTTTCTTTGTGCCCCTGCAGAACGCATGCAGAAAGACTGTTGTCTTTGCACACTGGTGTGAACGAGGCCTAAATGTAAATTCTGGGCAATCATTAAGTGGTATTGTGCCTTATCTAGTTACAGTATATTCATGATTCTTGGTCTTATATTTAGTTTGCTGCTTTTTGTTACTTACAGACCTCCCAACAAAAAAGCATAGACTCCAAGCTCTGAATCTACTGGTCATTCTGCTGCCTGATATTCACCGTGACACCCTGAAGGTCTGTTTTTCACTTTATTTTATTTGATGCACATTCCTTCGTGTAGTAATGTGTGCTCTATTGTAATTGTGAAATATTGTTAGTGGATGCATTTTAAAGCAGACAGTGGGTTGGAACTGTTAACAATAGATCCATTCTCTAAAACTGTAACTGAAAGCACATGGATAAACCTGATCCTGTTGTGCTGAATGTAAAATGTCTTCTGTGTCCTGTTTTAGGCTTTACTTGAATTCCTTCAGAAGGTTGTGGATCACAGAGAGCAGAACAAAATGACTCTGAAGAACGTTGCCATGATAATGGCTCCTAATCTCTTCACTGACCATACCTCCTCATTAAAAGGTGTAGATCAAGGAGCTGTAACCAGTGCTGCCCGGACAGCTTCCATCATGCTTTTTATGATCAAATACCAGAAACTTCTCTGGACAGTAAGTGAATATTCGGACAGAATGTGCTGTCATTATCTTTCTCTTTACAAATGCCAGTATTACAAAATGTTACGAGGACAGTAAATTTTAACTTTTGTCATAGAACACACCATTATTTAAGAGGGCTGCCATCTACACATCAGCACATTTAAGAGAACTGGTCAAAAACTAATTAAAGCTTATTACTCAGCGTGATGTGTTAAATGTATGATTACTTTGAGAAGATTGTTTCCCTTCCATTATTACTCCTACCTTCTAATGTAAGAGCAGCTTTGATCTAAGAGTCAGCACGTTTAGCTTCAAAAGATGCTTTGTCCTGTTTTCCAATGATCTCAGTTCCGACAAGGTGCATCATCCCATGTTCAAGGACCATCTTGATGCTTAGCTTGACTAGCTTAGCTCCAATTCATGTTCTTTCCTTCCTTCCTATGTACAGAAAAAATGACAAGCTGATGCAAACACAAAAGAAAGGTTCACATGGTCACAAGAAGTAATGAGGGCACAGTAGCAAATAGGCAAAATAGGTATGACAGCTAGGGCTTAAATACAGTTGGGGTCCTTTCAAGTGGGATTTCTTTTCAGGTCCACCTGTCAGTTTCACAATTAGACCTGATTAGAAGCTCCATGTACATCTATGGACAGACAGATGTAAATGCAGGCATATCCATTTACATTTACTTACGTTAGAGTTGGTCCAGGTCCAGAAAAAAAATGGAAAAATGACTGCATCCGTTTCCTTTTTTCCAGACCTAAACATGATGGGTGGGAGGGAGCCTGATGTAAATGGATGCAAATCCATTTTCACCATTTTCACCTGACTGCCCATAGAGTGCACAGTGCTTTAGCAAACTAAATGTAATCCAGTTAGGATTTACATGTACTTTGATTGTTGCAGACACAAAATTACTCACAATGACTAAATATAATATTGGCATAGACGACAAGTAATGTTATATTCCTGCATTAATTTGATTATTGACATAGTAAAAAGAAAATTCTGGAAAATAATTGTTTATATGTTGAGCTTCTTTCCTTTTTATATTTACTTGTGTGTCATTTCATAACTAACTGAATACAAAATAATAGATCATTTCATTCATACACAGATTCCCAAATTTCTTGTTGCACAAGTAAGGCAACATAACATTGTCAGCCAAAAGAAAAATGTCAAGGAAAAGGCTATGAAGAAACTTTTAAAAAGGATGGCATATGACCGAGAGAAGTCTGAAAAGGCAGAAAAAAGCCTTGCTGATGTGAGTTTTGTGTAAATAAAAGAGAGCTGATTCTGCATCATATGCACTACATGTTTACAAATACTACAATAGCTACTAAATATGCTTTCATTGGTATATTATATGTGTCCTGCTGCATTTTCTAAGAACATTGGTATTCTCATCTGTTTTCCTAAATGAGCTTTATAAACGAATACTCCTATCACAGTTGTACATTCACACACTCTGGCCTCTATTTAAAGTGTAATTACACCCATCAACTTAACTGTTACAGTTACACTAAAGGCATGATGTGCATGAAAACTGTCAGTTACATGTACTCTAGGCCGATCTGTTAAGCCATTAAATGGCTGGTGTCATAACTGATTACATGTGTAGCATCATGGCAACTGCAGATCACACAAAGGCTAAGATGGCAGCTTACTTGGCTGTAAAGGATGGGAGAGTTCCACTTTTAAGTCCAGCCTTTTCTAATTACCACGAATTAAAAATGATAAAATAGGTCATTGGATTTACTTTTTTTTTTTTTTTGCTTGTAATGCATTTTTACTTTTTTTAACCCCTTGGCGCCAGCGCCTCCCAGCCCTTTAAGGGTTTCAGAAGCCGGGAGGCGGGGTTTTAGGGTCATGTGACGGCCATGATTCACTGTCACGGTGATCACATGATCGGGAAAGGTCCCGATCGCTAGAGGAGATCGGGACCTTTCCGTGAGTACTGGACATGTGTGCTGGGAGTGCTCAGGACACGCGCTCTCAGCACATATGTTTTTTTTAATTACACACAAATGTGCGGCCACTTGCGTCAAGGCACAGATACTGGTAGGCCGCACATTGCGTGCAGCCGGCGCCAAGAGGTTAAACTATACAACAAATTTAATACCTGGTCTTTCAGATAGAAAATGCATCAGTCAATCATAAAGCTTACATTCACACAGTTTTTTTATTACTATATAAGTACAGTTACTTATATAGTGCTGTCAATTTACGCAGCAATTTACTTATATAATGTACATCCACAGCAGTCCCTGAAAGTTCAAGAAACCAGGCGCTCAAGGAGCTTACAATCTAAGGTCCCTGACTACTTACTACGGCCAATTCTGACAGATGCCAATTAACCTATCAACATATCTTTTGGCGTGTGGGCGGAAACCGGAGTACCCAGAGGAAACCCATGCAGGCACAGGGAGAACATGCAAACTTCAGGCAGGTAATGCCGTGGTTTGGATTTGAACCTACGACCCTAGCCACTGTGCTTCCCATAGCCATAAATGGTTTGAAAGGTTTGGTCACCTTTGATCCTCATAAACAGTCTTCTCATTTGCACCTAATCTAAAAATCCCCTATTAAATGTTAGAATGTATGCCTTTTCTTTAGTCATAAGGCCATAGTCTCTTAGTTGCTCCCATAGGATTCTGTCAATCTGTACTGCAGTGCTGAGCATCAGTGTTGTGCTCCCAGGTGCTGCATCTGTAGTCTGTCAATGGAGATATTCTAGTTCACACGCATACCTGCCTTCCCAAAAGTGCAGAAATTACATTCTCCTACCCAACATTTAGCTTTACCATGGCATAGGAAAGTAGAGTTGGTGTAGATAGATTGCCCACTAAGAAGCTGTGTTGAAACTTCTCTTTTCCACTCTCCTGAAAACAGTGGGGGTGTAATAAAACCCAATGGATCCAGCACAAATGTTGAAGATGATTATTATTATTATTATACAGGATTTATATAGCGCCAACAGTGTGCAGCAAATTACAAATTGAAGGTAGACATTACAGTTACAATACAATTTGGTACAAGAGGAAACAGAGGGTCCTGCTTGTTAGAGCTTACAATCTAGGAGGAAGGGTTGAGTGATACAAAAGGTAATAGTTGTAGGGGGGGGATGAGCTTATGGAGGAAATAAATGGTGGTCTACTAAGTAGAAGCAGGATAGACTTCTTTAACCACCTCCCTCCCGCCACATAGTAATATGACGGACGCAAGGTGGTTCTCTCGTTCTGAGAGGACGTCATATGACATCCTCCCATTCTTAGCGCGCATGCGCGGATCACGAAGCACGCATCGCGGTGATCGGCGGTGCGCTGTGTCCCTCGGACACAAAGAATCACCAATCACAGAGAGCCGAAGATGTCGGCTCGGTCATGTGATCAGCTGTGTCCAATCACAGCTGATCACATGTAAACAGGGAAATGCCGGTTATCGGCATTTATCTCCTCTCGAGCTGTCACGCTGAGAGCTTGTGAGGAGAAGAGAGGAGAGTCGGTAATCGGCTTTCTGCGGAGGGGACATGTACACTGATCATCAGGGCACTGATGATCAGTGTGCCCTGATGATCAGTGTAGCCCCAGCAGTGCTACCTGTCAGTGTCCATCAGTGCCTTGTGTCAGTGGTCATCAGTGCCTCGTGCCAGTGCCCATCAGTGCCACATATCAGTGCCTACCAGTGCACATCCATGCCACATATCAGTGCCCATCTGAGCTGCCTGTCAGTGCCACCTATCAATGCCAATCAGTGCCACCTATCAGTGCTACCTATCGGTGCCTGTCAGTGCCGCCTATCAGTGCCATGTATCAGTGCTGCCTTTCAGTGCCCACCAGTGATGCCTGTCAGTGCACATCAGTGCCACCTATCAGTGTCCATCAGTGCAGTCTATCAGTGCCCATCACTTCAGCCTAATTAGCGCACATCAGTGAATGAGAAAAATCACTTATTTACAAAATTTTATAACAAAAACTAAAAAAAAGTTTTTTTTTTCAAAATTTTCAGTGGTTTTTGGTTTGTTTAAGAAAAAATAAAAAACCCAGAGGTGATTGAATACAACCAAAATAAAGCTCTATCTGTCACAAAACAATGATAAAAATTTCATATGGGTACAGTGCATGACCGCGCAATTGTCACTCAAAGTGCGACAGCGCTGAAAGCTGGAAATTGACCTGGGCAGGAAGGTGGTATAAGTGCCCTGTAGGCTTGTGGTTAAAGAGAAAGGTATTCAGGGATGTTAAGTCATTTTGTAAAGTGTAACTGACATCTCAGAAATATTCATTTAGCTTAGGCACACACACAGGTTTTAAAATCGCTGTGTTTTGGAGTGCTATTCAGCAATGCAAATCAGATGTATTTTTGTATGAACACCTATGTGTTTTTAATGCATTCTCCAGCAGATCTCTCTCTCATAAACTCTCATATAAAGCATTGGAATCTGATACTTCCCATTCAACTCCATGGATTGCAATTTCAAATCACACTGTCACACAAGACCCTTTTCAAAAATGCAGTGCGACTTCAATGTTTCTATCTCAACGTCTCAACAGGAAGACCTTCAGTTTGATTTGTCATTTGAATTCGGATTCTCAAATCGAATAAAAAAACGCGTGTGAACTGGGGCTCATATGAGCTCCTACCTTATTCCATTTTCATGATTTTAAATCCATCTTCCTATTATAACAGTTGTACAGGGTGTCTAAATATAACTGCACAGTCCCACAGATCTTAAATTTTTTTTTTTATTAAATCTGCAATAAGTTTGGATGATAGTCTACGATCCACAAAACGACGAGAAGATATTTATCAATGAAGGAAAGTGCAAAGGCTTTCTTCCTATTTGTAGCCAGCTATACATTGTGTGTACAATTATTAGGCAAGTTGTATTTTTGAGGAATAATTTCATTATGGAACAACTACAGTGCTGTCGATCAATCCAAAATTAATAAAATTATATATAGTGCAGCGCTCAAACCTAAATCAAATACTACAAGAACTGTGCTCACATGCAATAGTGTCACAAAAATAATCAAACGCAAATCATTAAGTGAGATATCCTCATTAAAAAGTGCCACTCTGTATTATTCCCTATCCCTTCGTGGCCACATAATCAAACAAATATATATAAAAATAAATACATTTATTTATTTTTATATATATTTGTTTGATTATGTGGGCACGAAGGGATAGGGAATAATACAGAGTGGCACTTTTTAATGAGGATATCTCACTTAATGATTTGCGTTTGATTATTTTTGTGACACTATTGCATGTGAGCACAGTTCTTGTAGTATTTGATTTAGGTTTGAGCGCTGCACTATATATAATTTTATTAATTTTATTAATATTTACACTGTTTGGGTAGCAGGTTAAGTGCTGGCAGCTTCTAGTAGGCGTATTTCCCTTTTGCGCAGGGGGATCTCTGTCTGTAGATCAATCCAAAATGTTAATAAACCTCAAATCTGAATATATAAAAAAGTAAAAGTGAGGTTTTGGCTTTCTTAGGAGAATATCTATGTGTGCACACTTATTGGGCAACTATTGTGCAGAATTATGCAACTAAATGAAACCGAAAATTAACTCAAATAATAAAACAACTCAAAATTTACAAATAAACATCTTTGACATTAAAAAAAAAAAAATCAGTGACCTATATAGCAACCATTCTTTTCAATAACAGTCACAAGTCTTCCATTCATGAAGTCTGTAAGTTTCTTGATCTGGTGATGATCAGCTTCTTGTGCAGCAGCAACCACAACCTCCCAGACACTGTTCAGAGAGGCTTTCTGTTTTCCTTCACCATAAATCTCGCATTTAAGAAGGGCCCACATCCTCAATAGAGTTTAGGTCAGGTGAGGAAGGGGGCCATGTCATTATTATTTCATCATTAAGGCCTTTACTGGCTAGCCGTGAAGTGGAGTACTTTGATGCATGTGATGGGGCACTGTCCTGCATAAATATCATGGTCTTCTTGAAAGATGCTGACTTTTTCATGCACCACTGCTTGAAAAAAGCGTCTTCTAAAAACTGGCAGTAGTTTTGGAGTTGGTATTGAGTCTATCTTCAACCTAAAAATGTCCAACTAGCTGATAATAATACCATCCCATAGGAGTACCCCTCCTCCACCTTGCTGGCGTCTGAGTTAAAGTAGAGCTCTGTGCCCGTTGCTGATCCAGCCACAGGTCCTTCCATCTAGTTCGTCAAGAGTCATTCTCATCTCATCAGTCCATAGAACATTTTAAAAAAACTGTCTTCAGATATTTCTTGGCCCCTTCTTGATGTTTTCATGTGTCTTGTTCAGTGGTGGTCAGGTTTAAGCCTTCCTTACCTTGGCCATGTCTCTGAGCAGTGAACACCTTGTACTTTTGGGCACTCCAGGTAGGTTGCAGTTCTGAAATATGACAGCACTGAAGGGTAATGGGTTCCTGGTAGCTTCACGTTTGGTTCTTCTCAAATCTTTGGCAGTTAATGTGCATCTTTTTTTGCTCAATGCGTTTCTTGGGACCCTGTTGACTATTTGCAACAAAACATTTGATGGTTCTGTGATCACGCCCCAATATCTTAGAAATTTCAAGAGTTCTGCATCACTCTGAAAGACTTTACAATTTTTGACTTTTCAGAGTTAAATCTTTTTTTTGGCCCCTTTTGCCTGAGGAAAAGAAGTTGTCTAATGATTATGCACACCTTGTTATAGGGTGTTGATCTCCTTAAGCCACACCCTCCCTCATTACACAAATACACATCAGCTGATATTCTTAAATCCAATAAGCATTCAGGTTTGTACAGCTTGGAGTTGGACAATATGCATAAAAATTAGGATTTGGTCAAAATAACACTTGCCTAATTGTGCACACGGTGTAGAAGAGTTTATACCCACACTAGCATCCACATTCAGCCAGCAAGAAAAACATGACTATATTACTAGCAACGCATGCAGTGAATGATGAAAGTGAGGCTTCCCATCTTTTCGCTAGGTGTCTCATCACACAGCAGAAGAAAAAGAATGTTACATCACTTCTTCTTTCAAAGTGAAACATGTCTTCGCTTTCACACCTGCAAATTATCTGGTTTCCTTTTTTTTTTTTTTTTGTCGAACCCTTGTAGGTGTCAATGAGGCTTCCCATCTGTAGCCCATTGTAGAAGACATTTTACATATATCGGCAACCAGGTTCAGCCAGCAACATAAATAAAAACTATGATTAGATATAATCAGCTATCATGCACAATGTCTTCTTCCATCTGCGGAAGTGTCAAATTAGATATACTCAGTGAAAGAATACTGCAGTCATGCACAGAGTTAACTGCAGCAAATGCCAGGGACATCAAGCCTTAAGTACCTCCCTGCTGCCTCCTACAGTTTTCCATTATACAATACTTGTTTCTCACAGCAAGAACTCGCTTCCTTCAGTTTATTTTTTATATTTCACTAACACTCAATATATATTCTATATGTTACCCGATACAGCATGTTGGCAGTGTGTTTTTTGGTCAATGTAATTACTGAATATTCAATTTAAAACAAAGTAGAATTCATAGATATTTTGTAGATGCTGGATACTCCACCTACTTAATTCATACTATGAAATACATACTTTTTCTGTCTATCTTTTTGTAGGGAAATGTATTCATCTTGAAATGTTATATATATATATATATATATATATATATATATATATATATATATATATATATATATATATATATATATATATATTATTAAATTACTTTTACACAACTACATCTAGTCCAACAAAGTCGTTATCCTGTTCAGTTGAATATTGTGTGTATTTCATGCCCCCTAGTGGAATGTTATGGGAATGAGTTTTCATTTTTTTGTAACTGTTTATAACACTTTGGAAGAATCTAGAGGAAACTTTTATATGCTTACATATTTCAGCCTCATAAACTGGGAACAGTGCATTATCAAATGTTAATTCCCTACCACTGTTACTACTATTTGTGTCATTAATTGCTGAATAAAGGTTTTTCTATCTTGTAATAAATCAGCAAGTGACTATAACTAAATTGTTGTTTTTGTAAGAGTGAATTTCCTAGAAGTGCCTTAAGTATGCATTTTATTTTCTTAGAATGATAAACCTCAGGGATTCATACGGGTACAAGCTCCTCAGTTTTCCAAAGTTTCTATGGCGGTACAGTTGACAGAAGATTTAAAAGCAGGTGACATTCTGGCACGCTTTCTCAATCAAGAAAGGTACATCATTGCTTAGCAATATGCTATAATTTGTGGATTAGACACTTATTATGTATCTGTGATTTGTCCTAATTTATTTTCATAGTTTGTTGTTTTTAAATGTGCCTACATGAAATGGCTAGCATAACCCCTTGATGCCGACTTCACACAAATATGCGGCATCATGGAACTGGGCTTTTTTCCATGGGTCCGCATATTTGCGTACTTGTCTTTGTGCTGGGTGCGTGCCACTCGGCGCACTCCCAGCACAAAGACTGTGGTCAGGACGATCGGGACCCGGGTCTCCGATTCCGGGTCACATGATTGCCTCTGATTGGCTATCACAGTGATCAGTCACTGTACAGCCTGGCCCCCTTGCTTTTTTTTCTCTCTCCATGAATGGCAAGAGAGAGAAAAATAAAATGTTTGTAAAAAAAAAAAAAAAAAAAAAGAAGATAAAAAAATAAAAGAAAAAATAAATAAAAATACCTAGATCAAGGTTTGATCTGGTTCAGTGCCAGGGTTAGTGTTTGGGTCAATGTCAGGGTCAAAGGTCAAGATTTAAAAAACAATTGGTGTCAGTTAGTGTCAATGTCAGTGTCAGTGTGTTTTAGGTTAAAAAAAAAAAAAAAAGACAAAAACAAAATGCGCACTATTGTTTCTGGGCTGTACTACAGGTACAAAGAACAAATAACATACACATATATAGTATCGCTGCGATCGTCAAGAGCTGGAGAATTTATTTTGGGTTGTTCTTTGGTGGTAGGTTATGGTAATAACAAGAAACACACAGCTAAATTAAAAAAAATGATTTTTTTTTTTTACTATTTTGGGCCAATTTTCCTTTGATAATAAAAAAAAAATCGTCAAGAGCTGGAGATTTTTATTTTGGGTTGTTCTTTGGTGGTAGGTTATGGTAGTAACAAGAAACACAGAGCTAAATTGAAAAAAATATTTTTTTTTTTACTATTTTGGGCCAGTTTTTCTTTGATAATAAAAAAAAAATCAGGAGCTATCCGTTACCATTTACCACCAAATGAAAGCCCAATTTCTCCTGAAAAAATCAGGGTATAATTCACCTGGATGTACAAAGTAGTTGTGATATGTACGGTTTTAAAGTGTTACTAAACCCAGGACCCTGCATTCCCTAATATCCCACAGTATGCAGAACATGGAAATGCAATTATTTTAGTAAATATAAACTGCTAAATTAATTTTCTCATCAGTAGCATATAGCAGTCTTGTGACTTCTATCAGTGACCGGCCGTGAACTGTTTCATCTTGTAGGAGGAGTTTTCATTCTTACAGGAGGAGTCCTATAAGGCTGTATGACCCCTGAACCTCTGTCCAAAAAGCGCTGATTGTTCCTTTGCGATGATATGCACCCTAAAAAAACTCTCTAGCCATACTCACCAAACAGTGCATGTTCAGACTTGCCACTGCTGCTCTGTACTATGGCAGATAGATTGGGGACAGTAAAAGTAGAGGAGGATCAGAGAAGACAGGATCAAACAGCTGTTTTACACAATACAGAGGGTTAACCCCTTAGGTTCCACAGTGAGTATAACAAACATGCTTTACTGCATATACAGACTGATTTTACTGTTGTGGGTTTATTAACAATTGTACCACTTTGTTTGGGTTTAGGTAACACTAGCAAAAATAAACCCAATGCAGAAAGGGTAGGTTGGGGTTAGAAAAATGTTAAACTAGTGTCTGGATAATAATGTAAATGGACTGACAGCAGTCATTATGTGCCAGAGAGGAGTGCAGAGGGTATGACAGTGGGCAGTATATTTGGTAGAGGGGTGAAAAGTGTATGACAGAAGGCAGTATGTGCAAGAGAGGAATTCAGAGGGTATGGCCGTGATTAGTATGTACAGGAGAGGACTAGACCGGGTATGGCACTGGGCGGTATGTGCAGGAGAGGGTATAACAAGAAAGGAATGTGTAGGAAAGAAGTCTTAGCAAGCAGTTTATACTGGATAATAATGTGAATGGAATGACAGTGGGCAGTATGTGCAGAATAGGTGTACACAAGATATGACGGAGGCCAATATGTTTAGGAAACAAGTGTGAAGGGTATGACAGTGGGCAGACTGTGCAAGACAACAGAGCAGAAAGTATGATAGAGAGATGTACATGTGCAGGAGAAGTGGGTGGGAGGGTATTATGGGGCATTATGTATAGGAGTGAAGTACAAAGGGTATGACAGTGGGCAGTATGTGCAGAATAGGTGTACACAAGATATGACGGAGGCCAATATGTTTAGGAAACAAGTGTGGAGGGTATGACAGTGGGCAGACTGTGCAGGACAACAGAGCAGAGAGTATGATAGATGTACATGTGCAGGAGAGGTGGGTGGGAGGGTATTATGGGGCATTATGTATAGGAGTGAAGTACAAAGGGTATGACAGTGGGCAGTATGTGCATGAAAGGAATGTGTTGGACGTGATGGAGAATTATGTGCAGGAGAAGAGTAGAGGGTATAACAACTATCAGAACAGTTCACTTTTTGACTCTTAAATGATGGTTACTGACCTGTCCATAATTAGCATCAAACCCAATAAAGTATATGGTCATAGACATGAATGGTGAAGTGCTTCCCATATTATTAATATTAATTAGAAAGCGGCAGCATGAGTGCCAAGCTGTTCAGACAAGAGGTTTTACAGAGTAGGAATAGAGGTCCAAAACAGTGTCCCCCAGCTAAAGTTAAAGCAGGTTATTCTGGGACAACAGGGGTCTGATACAGCCCAGAGATTGTAAAGGTGGCGGGGTGCACCCAGAGTTAAACAGGAGAAGTGTATGAGGGAAATTGAGGACAATGGACATTGTAAAGGAGGCAGCAACATCTTAGAAGGTTTTTAGCAGGTACTGTGTCATCATGAAGTGGAGGTGTTACTGTGGGCCTGGATCATCTTTGTTGTTAGGGAATTTTATGCTAAGAAATAGGACAGTGGAGCTGAGGTTACCACTGTGCCAGAGTCAGTGGAGATGAGACTGATATTTGGTGTGGTGCACTGAATAAATGTAAGGGTTTATTCCAATTGTGCTGGAGACTTGGTGCTGAAAAGTTAAAGGATAAGAAAACTCTTTGTAACATGCAACCTGTTCCACCCATATTTGGGGTGGAACATGTAACATGTTCCAGCAGCTTCATCCTCTCCTCTACACCCAACCCAGCCCCCCATCCCCTGCGACAGTGAGCAGGGATCCTTTCCCCACCATTGTTGTCACTATTTGAAAAAAACATGGCTGTGCTGGGCTTCACCCACACGGCTGCATCATTCATTCATGGCTTCCTATGACTGTACAAGCTACAACTACCGTCAGCCTTTGTAGTTCTGTAAGGCCTCGTTCATTCACAAGCCCTGTAGCTTTTAAACAATCAGCCCATATGCAGGTACGGCCCGAAAGCTTCAGGGCTTGGAGTCTGGCATTGCACCCCTGATCCACTGATCACGATCATGATCAAGCTTTTCAGGCTCCTTAGTGAAAAAATAATAAATGTACAATTTTTTTTTTTTCCTGCAAAAATATGTGCATTTATTATTTTTTCCCAAAAGGTGAACTTATCCTTTTAACAGATACACTGGACATGAAGGGGTATATACACTATCATTGGGTACTGTCAGCTGATGGATTAATGCCCATAAGCAGAAGATTAATAGGTGGTAATGAGAGGATAAAAGACATACTCTGCTGGTGTAAAACTGGCTAAAAGTCTTTGTGTACCGGACTATAGTATACAGTGTACTGCTAGTATATATACTAAGTTTTTGTGCTGGGTCAGGATACAAGGGAAAGACAATGTGTGTTCTAGCACATGCACACACAACCCTTGAGTATACACAGACTCTAAGAAGCAATGAGAAACCTACTTCTGCAGAGAGAGGGGGAGGAAGCAGTAATTGCTGCTGAATAGAGATCCACAGAGATGTATGGCTTAAATCACACCGCATAGACATCGCGTGCAATTTGCACAGGAATATGGTGTGATTCCTGTGCAAATTACATGCGGTGTCTCACACCACATTAATGTGAACCCCCTCTGAATGTGATTGGTTATTCTTTGCAAAGTGAAACTTCACTTCATTTACTAAGCTCTGGAGCAACTGCACTTGTAAGTGCACAGTCTATTTGCCTTTAGTAAATTAACCCCGCTATGTTTTACAAATTAGGCTCCAGACTTTCAAGTAATGTAAGCAACAGAGGGACAATGGTTCTGCAGTGTTTACAAGCATATTGCAGAATTTTTGGTGGTACACCGGAAAACCCTTTAAAGCAAATCTGAAGTCTTCTAAAATCGTTTGCAAGTCTAAGATTGCCTTTTGAGTTCCTGGGAGCCCTGAATCTAAAGGTGCTCAGGTATTAAAAAAAAAAAAAAGAAAATACAACCACCTCCCATGGTTGACAGCCGCTCACCTTCTGCACTTTACTACTGGCCAGTGAAGCAATCCAATTCATTGATGGTAGCAAGAGGGAGAGACCAAGCTATTGACTATGGGAGAACTTTGCCTACCACAAATCTAGAATTCATGGCTCCAAGGGAACTCAATAGCTGAGCTAAACTGACAACCAGACACATTGAAGTGTACATTAAGACACTTCATAAGCTCTATACTAACATTTAGAGGACTTTCAGTATACCTTCAACAACTGAAGTATTTTTTAGAGAATATTTGTTGCATCATGGTTGTTAAACTAAAATTATAATGCTATTTTATTCTTTCTTCTTGGTAGTGGTTCATCAATGACTCTGACAAGAGAAGAAGTTAGTTTATATGAAATTGGGGGGAATATTGGTAAGTTCTAATTAGTATGACTGTGTCTTTTTTGTTTGTTTTTTTTACTTGTTTTCTTTTGAACAGATTACCAAATTACTAAAGATTTAAAAAATAAGGCAACCAAAAGCCAAACACAACTGTATAGATTACAACAGATAATAAACTATATATAAGCAATAAAGTTAGAAATTAACCGCTTCCTGACCACCTTATAGCAGAAATACTGATGCATGGCGGCATGGGTGCGCAAAATCACGTGATTTTGCATTTCCAGTTAGGGGAACGTGCCCTACCCATGCCGCCATTCGCACTCGTAGCTGCCCCGGACGGTGATTCCTCACCCAGCGCCTGGTGATTGCCGAGCATCTCCAATGGAGAGGAGAACTATTTGTAAACAAAACAGCACTCCTCCCTGTCAGCTCCTGCACACTGCTTTGGGAGGCTGTGCAGCACACGGACACAGCACTTAGTAAATCAGCACATGGTTAACCCTTTGATTGCCCCTCATTTTAACCCCTTTCTGCCCAGTGCCATTAGTACAGTGTCAGTGCTTTTTTTTTTTTTAGCACTGATCAATGTATTGGTGTCACTGGGGATGTCATCAGTCACCAAGTCAGTTCCCCACCAGTGTCAGAATGCCCGCCGCAGTCCTGCTATAAGTCGCTGATCACCGCCATTACAAGTAAAAATTAAAAAAAAAAATCAATTAATTTACACATATTGGGATTTTTTTTTTTTAGCAAATACCTGTAGCAGAATCCATTTTGGCCTAAATTTATGAGGAAATGTTATTGTTTAAATTTTTTTTACTGGATATGTTTAATGGCAAAAAGTCAAAAATATTGTTTTCTTTCTCAAAGTTGTCGGCCTTTTTTTCTTTTATAGCACAAAAAATAAAAACTGCACAGGCAATCAAATACTACCGAAAGAAAGCTCAATTCATGGGGAAAAAAAGGACTTAAATTTCATGCAGCTTTGCATGACCACGCAATTGTCAGTTAAAATAAAGCGCCGTAACGCAAAGAATGTCCCGGTCAGGAGGGGGGGGTAAATCCTCAGAAGGGCAAGTGGTAAACTAAAAACTACTACAATAGTATGTCATTCCTTTGTGACCATTTATTGTACAAATATTAAGAATTACCATGCTATACAAATCCAATTAAACCAGCAACCACTAATCCTGTAAACTTGGAACACTTGTATGGTTTTAATAGTGCTATCAGACCAGAATGATCTCAGCTGGGATGTGAGTAAAAGGGACACAACGTTAACAACACTTGATATTTTATTCATGCTGAACCTTTGAGCAGTACTTCTGCCATATTACTGGACAAAAGTGACACGTCCAGCAAGGACACAGTGGTTCTTATGGGTGGCTAGCCCACTTGGGAGAAGACCAGTGGAATCTAATAGCAGGATCAACCTGTTCGTGGCCAGCACTAGCATTTATCAATATTGGGATGAAGCGCTCAGCAATGAGGGTAATAATCCTATAACTAATAAATTCAAAAAGTGACAAATGCTTAAATAAATAAAATAAATAGTGATTCCAATACCTAAACAAACAATCTGCCACCCAGTGGCTAAATCAGATACCAACAGGTGAACATAAAGTGACAAGTGCTCTACAACTGATAAATATATACACCATAAATATAAATACACATAAATTCATAAGCTATGACCACTCACTGAACTGTATATGTCTAAAAATACCATGAATTAATAAACATGAAATAATACACTGTGAACATTCACTAAAAAAAAAAAAAAGTGTAAAATACACAATTAAATCTCATAAATAAAGTGCAAAAACCGTGCTAACACACTCATAAATAGTGCAAAATATAAATAGTGCTAAATATTCATCCACTTTCAGCATGTGCTCAAGCCAGTGATCACTCTAGTGCGTGTATCCCCCAGTGGCTAGAGCGCCTCCTCACCTCCTTAACTCGACCCCTAAGGGCTACAAATCATATAATAAAATGATGTTTCAACCCCGATTGGGTTCTTTCCCCTCTGGTAATAGTGGTCCCAATGGCTCCACACAATGGCTTTGCAGATCTCAGTTGTTGCCATTTGTTTAATTTGTGTAAAAAAAAAAAATTGTTATTTTCAAAACATTTGTGGCAAAAAATAAAATGTTCCATGGAATCACCAAAGTCATGTAGCAGAATACATTTTGGCCTAAATTTATGACTAACTTTGAGTTTATTGGATATTTTTTATAACCAAAAGTGAAAAATATTGGGGGGGGGGGCTTTTTTTTTTTGTTTACAGCGTTTTTTTCTTGTTTGTTTTTTTCTGTTTAAAGTAAAAACCGCAGAGGTGATCAAATACCACCAAACGAAAGCTCTATTTGTGTGAAAAAAAGAACATCAATTTTGTTGGGGTACATCATTGCACGACCGCGCAATTGCCAGTTGAAATAGTGTAGTGCCGAATAGCAAAAAATGGCCTGGTCATGAAGGGGGGTAAATCTTCCGGAGGGCAAGTAGTTAAATTAAAATTGTTTAAATATATCAGAAGGTGAGGCTGTATATACAGTTGAAGTGAGGTGAGATATATATACAGGCAGCACAGTGGCTAAATGGTTAGCACTTTCGCCTGGCAGTACTAGGGTCGTTGGTTCGAATCCCAACCACGGCACCACCTGCTTGAAATTTTCATGTTCTCCCTGTGCCTGCGTGAGTTTCCTCCTGGTACTCCAGTTTCCTCCCACGCTCCAAAGACATGCTGGTAGGTTAATTGGTTCCTGTCTAAATTAATCCTAATATGTGTATGTATGAATGTGAGTTAGGGACTTTAGATTGTACATTTTTTGAGGGTTAGGGATTGATGTGAATGTACAATACACATATAAAAGTATAAAATAGCATCACAGCTTCATTCAAAGAGGAGATTAAAGTAAACTTGCTGCTTTGCCATGCATGGGCAATGCACAGGTTTGCATAGATTTTGGGGTCAATAAAGATTTTTCTTTAACTGCTATTTTATGTAGTTTTTACTAGATTCACCTGGGAAGCGTTGATCCTTTTTTTTGATGTTTCTAATATACATGTAGCCCGGTATTACTTTTTTATCTTTTCTTCTAGCAAAAGGAAAAATATTAATAAGACTGTGAACAGTTTTCCAATTTTGATCTAGGTAGGAGGTATAGAGTTGCTTGTTTATTCCTAGTACTATGTAAAATTTGTAGCATAGACCGAGACATCATTAGCAGCAAGTGGAATTGAGCTGTTTCCAGTTATTGTTATAGAAAGAAAGAAAGAATATTCTTTCTATCTTGATCAAGCTCCAATGTGTAAAGTAAAATGTTTTCTTACCAAAATTATTGATTCTGTTTATCTTTAAGATACCCACTCAGTCTGCTCTCACCACCCATTGGTGTGTACCACAACCTGCTAAGGGTGTTTTGTATCAAAGAAAGCGGAATAGCTCCAGTGGTACCTTCTAAAAAACACTTGGTGCCACTGTTTAAAGATGGAGCATACTCCATTTTTTTTGCTTTCTATTAGATGTGGAAACTTTTTCTAAGCATTCTGATAAAAATTACGTGTGTTTAACTGTTCAAATGTTTTGTTTCCTGGTCAACCATTTTGATGTGTTTTGTACGTATTCTAGGTGAACGCTGTCTAGAAGATACTACATATATGAAAGATCTGTCTCAACTGAACCCTCATGCTGAATGGGTTATAAAACCGAAGCCCAAAGAATGACCTGAATAGAAAGAAAAAAAAATAAACCTTAAGCTTAAAGACCTGAGAACAAGACGCATCAAAGTGAATAATGCCCTTTTGTAGTAATAAGTTGCCTTTTGGAACTTCCATGTTTATTTAAAAAGACATTTATCTTAATGGAAGTGAATGGCTAACAACTTTTACTGCCAATAATTGTACCAATCCCCTTATTAATATTGACACTGGGAAGATGTATGTGAAGACTACTTAGCTATTCTGTTTTCTACCATATTGAAAATTTGTATTTAAATGTATGCATGGAAAAATATTTGTAAATACTGAAGCCAATTCTTCATAAATATTAACTAAGCCATCATTCAATGGTATAGCTGGTACCCATAAGGTGCTAAAACATACCATGTGTTTTGATGGTTTCTAGGTGATCCCAAAGAGCCTCTCTACCTAGAAAATATGTTCTACTCATATATTGATTTTCATCTTCGTACGTGCTTAAGTAAACCAGTCACTGGGGAATTGAAGCTGAGCATTAGAATGAAATAAATATAATTGGTGAAGACAAATTTGCTTTGAATCTGAGTCAGCTAAAAAATTTAGTAGCAATTTTTTTTTTTCAGCGTAGCATGGGTTGTCAGTGCCCGGGACTTCATGCGATGCAATTTGCTACCTGACAATCATGGCAAAACCACACACATTTTAGACCCCATTTAAAATAATGGCACCTGAACCTGTGTTTTGCGATAATAGCGATTCTGCTGGATTCACAAAATGCCCAGGTGTGATTGGAACCTCCCTGGTTCACACATATGTGATTCTGGATTTGTTTTGAAACTCAGATTCACATGACAGGCTAGGTATTTTGTTTACCTATTGAGGTGGTTCACACCGATGCAATCCACACACGTGTTTTGAGAATAAAAAGGGCCCTGTTCAAGTTTGTGGCGGTGCATTCCAGACTTGCATGAGAGTAGAGTGGCATGCAGAGAGAAGAGTTCACATAATATACATACATTACACACAGTATGATATTGACATATAGTTTCTGCATGGAAGTGTATGGGGTGCGACTTCCCACAGAAGTCTATGGGGCGCGACTTCCCACAGAAGACAATAGGTGGCAATGTGTGCAAACCCAGGTGCCAGGATGCAATTTCTAGTCGCCAATGCAACCCGGCACCTGGGATTTGTCGGGTCCTGGGTGAAGAACAGATGTGAAAACAATCACTAGATGCAGAGATATAGGTAGCTTAAACATATAATCAAACGTATCCTCTGAAATTTGCCCTGGCCTTAAGTTTCCCTATTTTTCACTGAGCCTGTCCTTTTTCAGTAAAACAGTGCTCAAGATGTGCAGGGTGATAGGTCCAAGGTCAATGTCTAAAAGAAAAATAGAGATTTGTATATAACGTTTGTTTCTTATATCTTTGATTTTTTTGTGTCATAGGGTCTTCATTGAAGTTGACCTTTTAGTAAAGTATTTTTTTGATTATGTGCTTAGGTTATGTTGCCCAGGCCTGTAACAGGTTTACTTTAAAGTAACCCTTTCAGCCCAAAAGCATACCTGCTAAACAAAGGAAAAATATACTTTGCTTTCTGGTGGCTGTCTCTTGAAATTCCGCTGCTTCTTTGCTCCCTGCAAGTATTTAACCAGTTGGACAAAATACATGTTTCCTCCCAATACACACTGTAATTTCTCCTGCCAGCTCATAAATCATGCATGGATGTATGGCTGGGGGAGCAAATTTTCCATAAATCTGGAAGTGGAGATTACTTGCAGTAGCCAGGGATCATCAAAGTAACATAATCTCAAGACATGGGCTGCCAGAACAGTATATTCCAGGTATGGTTTTGGTTTTTGGTGATTCTTTGCTGTTAGGGTCACTTTAGGCACATCCCCACTCCACCTCCACCCCACATTGGAATGCACATGCCTTCGCCACCTTTAGGGCATTTTTGTTCTATAATAATGCTGCTTTATTTTATATTTGGTGGGGGTAGGTTCACTTTAAAATAATCTCTGAATTAATAAGTGTATTCCTAGTAGCCATTTTCCAGCATCACTGAATCTATTGATCCCAAGAGAGACAGCCAGTGGGCAATGTCCAAATTACTTTTTACCGACGTACAGCACTAATATGCTTTAGTTTTTATGTTGGAATGTAAAATAAAGTGGTCTTTATTTCCAGCATACTCTTATTATAATTTTACCTCAAGGCAAATAAATGAAGGAATTGTAGATTTTTTTTTTTATAGAAAGTGCATATTTTTGTTTTTATGTATATAAATATATATGTGAAAAATATTCATTTGTCATATTTGCCAGGGATTGTTGGCTGTACAAAATAAAAAAGACATAAGCTGTATCCTATTTAAACTTATTTTTTTATTATTGAAATGTCACAAGACCCATGTATGAACAAGCATTTGTCATTCATGTATATACATACAGTGTGTGTATGAATGTATGTATGTGTGTGTGTGTGTATGTGTGTGTATATATATATATATATATATATATATATATATATACACACACACACACACACACATACACACACATATATATGTGTGTACAGTAACTCTGGATTTTTTTTTCTTCCTAGATTTTGCATCTTAGTTTGCATTAAAAACCAGCATTCTGGATCAAAGAAAGGAAAACAAATTTGCAGGTTTACAAAAGCTTCTTAACAATTAAAATGTACAACTGGATTATTTTCTACCCTAACATGTAGAGCTGTTATTTCCTTAATATCACATCTTATCTACCTGTTATCTCTTAAATCTCAATTCACAAAATTACACACTTTATTTAGTCAACTATGTAGTGGTATTGTACCCAAACTGCTGTCAGTGTTATTTTACCAGCCCTTAAGAAGTGTTAAAGTTCACAAAGATCACCATACAAGTTATCACCCCTTAACCACCTCCCACCCGCCATATAGTAATATGATGAACGCAAGGTGGTTCTCTCGTTTCTGGGAGGACGTCATATGACGTCCTCCTATTCTCATCGCGCATGCGTGGCTCCCGGAGCGCACAGCGCGGTGATCGGGCGGTGCGCTGTGTCCCTTGGACACAGCGGATCACTGATCCACGGAAAGAGCCGAAGATGTTGGCTCGGTCATGTGATCAGCTGTGTCCAATCACAGCTAATCACATGTAAACAGGGAAATGCCGGTTATCTGCATTTCTCTCCTCTCAAGCTGTCACGCTGACAGTTCGAGAGGAGAGCCGGTAATCGGCATTCCGCGGAGGGGACATGTACAATGATCATCAGAGCACTGATGATCAGTGTAGCCCCAGCAGTGCCACCTGCCAGTGTCCATCAGTGCCAGCTATCAGTGCCACATCAATGCCTACCAGTGCACATCAATGCCACATATCGGTGCTCATCTGAGCTGCCTTTCAGTGTCACCCATCAGTGCCAGCGTAACAGTGCCAGTCAGTGCTGCCTATCAGTGCCATATATCAATGCTGCCTTTCAGTGCCCATCAGTGCCACCTACCAGTGCCTCCTCATCAATGCCCATCAGTGCAGCCTATCAGTACCCATCACTGCAGCCTCATTAGCGCACATCAGTTTATGAAAGTACAGGAGCCTCTGTCTTCTGTTCATTCATTTGCAGTTCAGCTGAGGGTGCAGAAAGGAACTGGGGAATGTTTCATCAGTCCCTTTCTCTGATTCAAAAGTGAAACTTCAGGGGTTTGTTTAGACTCCTGAGGTATGACCAAAGACCCCTCAACAGTGTTGTGAAAAAAAGTAAGTAAGAAAATTGAAAAAAAAATAATAAAATGTTAAAGATCAGACTAAAATTTCTAATCAGACTAAAAAATCAAGCCCAAAATGTAGCATGGCGCACTATGTTCACTGCAGGTCACCATCTCCCTGGTAGGGGCCCCACTACATTGCTTTGCCCAGGGACCCATGATGCTTTTAAGGTGGCACTGGTATTAGCAACTGTATAAAAAAAGGCAGGGATTGTTTTTCTCCTGGCACCATTTCAAAAGGCTTCTAGTCTCTACTATATACTAGATCTACTATCAATAATAGTGATTTAAAGCAGTACACTGAAACAATGTTTTCATATTGTGTTTAAAAGGGGGAGTAATGTGTCATTTGTGATATCACGTCCTGTGAATTCCAACAGCTGTTTTTAACTTCTGACAACAATGATGATCTATTGCTTTTTGATAACACTGTTGCTATTGAAGCAGCAAGTAAACTTCTACACGAAACACTGGATTTTCAGTTTCACAGCTCAGCAGCCATGTTCTGAAATATGCCAATGTTGGAAAGATGGACACCAGTCACTTTTAACTGTGAACATGTGAACAAAGCCTTATACAGTGTGTATGTATGTGTGTGTGTGTGTATATATATATATATATATATATATATATATATATATATATATATATATATATACAGTTGTGTTCAAAATAATAGCAGTCAGACATCATTAACCTGATCAATCACTGTTTTCGGTAGAAATTTTATCTCTACATGGCAAATAATTTACTAGCAGGTGTAGTAGAGTAATAGAAATCCAACAGACCCAACAGTCATGACATGCATGCTGCTGATTCTGTGTAATTGAATCACTAATTGAAAGGGGCATGTTCAAAATAATAGCAGTGTGGAGTTCTATTAGTGAGGTCATTCATTCTTTGAAAAACAGGTGGCAGTTATTGCCCCTATTTAACTACCTGCCGACCGCAGATAGCCGAATGACGGCTGCACTGCGGCCGTCCAGTTTTCTGGGTGGACGTCATATGACGTCCTCCCAGAACGCGCTCTCCTGTGCGCCCCCGGCGATCTCCGTGATCGCTGTGTCCTACGGACACAGCTGATCACGTGATGTGGTAAAAGGCCAATCACAGCGGCCTTTTACCACGTGATCAGCCGTGTCCAATGACACGCTGATCACCGGGAAATGCAAATGCAGGTTCTCGGCTGCACTTTCCTCACGCTGACAGATCGTGAGGAAAGTGCTGCCGAAAACCGGCAGTTGTCAGAGCGGGGATCGGCACCGATCATCAGGGTCACTGATCATCAGTGCCCTGATGATCAGTGCCCAGCAGTGCACACACAAGTTCTGCCCACCTGTGCCCAGCAGTGCGCCCACCTGTGCCACCCAGTAGTGTCACCACCTGTGCCCAGAAGTGCCACCTACCTGTGCCCAGTAGTGCCACCCACCTGTGCCCACCAGTGCCACCGATCAGTGCAGCCCAGCAGTGCTGCCAGTCAGTGCCACCAGTCAGTGCCCAGTGGTTGTGCCAGTCAGTGCGCAGCAGTGCCACCAGTCAGTGCCCAGTGGTTGTGCCAGTCAGTGCGCAGCAGTGCCGCCAGTCAGTGCCCAGCAGTGATGACAGTCAGTGCCACCTATCAGTGCTGTCTATCAGTACCCATTATCAGTGTCGCCTATCAGTGCCACCAATCAGTACCGCATATCAGTGCCACCTATCCGTGACACCTCAGTGCTGCCTCTCAGTGCAGCCTATCCATGCCACCTCATTAGTGCTGCCTCTCAGTGCTGCCTATCAGTGCCGCATATCAGTGCCCATCAGTGCTGCCTCATCAACGCACATCAGTGAAAGAGAAAAATTACCTGTTTGAAAAATTTTATAATAGAAACAAAGAAACTTTTTTTTTTTCTTCAAATTTTTTTGCACTTTTTTTGCTTATAGCACAAAAAGTAAAGTGCCCAGCAGCGATTAAATACCACCAAAAGAAAGCTCTATTTGTGAGAAAAAAATGATAAAAATTTCATATGGATACAATCTTGCATGACCGCGCAATTGTCAATCAAAGTGCAACAGAGCTGAAAATTGGCCTGGTAAATAAGGGGGTATAAATGCCCGGTAGGCAAGTGGTTAAGGAAGGAAGGCAGCAAATGTACATGCTGGTTACAGTGCATTTCTCTCTGAAATTCTGAGGAAAATGGGTCGTTCCAGACATTGTTCAGAAGAACAGTGTACCGTGATTAAAAAGTTGATTGAGAGAGGGTAAAACATATAAAGAAGTGCAGAAAATGATAGGCTGCTCAGCTAAAATGATCGGAAATGCTTTAAAATGGCAACCAAAACCTGAAAGACGTGGAAGAAAGCGAAAAACTAGAAGAATAGCCAAAATGGCAAGGACTCAGCTAACATTCAGCTCCAGGAAGATCAAAGAAGGTCTAAAGTTACCTGTGAGTACTGTTACAATTAGAAGACGCCTATGTGAAGCCAAGCTATCTGCAAGAAGCCCCCGCAAAGTCCCACTGTTGAAAAAAAGACATGTGCTGAAGAGGTTACAATTTGCCAAAGAGCACATTGACTGGCCTAAAGAGAAATGGCGCAACATTTTGTGGACTGATGAAAGTAAGATTATTCTTTTTGGGTCTAGTGGCCAGAGACAGTTTGTCAGACGACCCCCAAACACTGAATTCAAGCCACAGTACACTGTGAAGACAGTGAAGCATGGTTGCGCAAGCATCATGATATGGGGATGTTTCTCATACTACGGTGTTCGGGCCTATTTATCGCATACCAGGGATCATGGATCAGTTTGAATACATCAGAATACTTGAAGAGGTCATGCTGCCTTATGCTGAAGAGGAAATGCCCTTGAAATGGGTGTTCCAACAAGACAACGACCCCAAACACACCAGTAAACGTGCAACATCTTGGTTCCAGACCAAAAAGATTGACGTTATGGAGTGGCCAGCCCAATCCCTGGATCTTAATGCAATAGAAAACTTGTGGGGTGACATAAAAAATGCAGTTTCTGAGGCAAAACCAAGAAATAGAGAAGAACTGTGGAATGTAGTCCAATCATCCTGGGCTGGAATACCTGTTCACAGGTGCCAGAAGTTGGTTGACTCCATGCAACACAGATGTACAGCAGTTCTCAGAAACAGTGCTTATACAACTTAATATTAATTAAGTGATTCAAAGGAAAGCAAAATCTTCAAACATTTTTCAGTTTATATAGTGAATGTTTGAGTTTGTAAAGATGAATACAAACACTGCTATTTTTTTGAACAGTCTAATATTCACTTTTCTTCAATTATTTTTAGAGGAAAAACACACATTTGATACATTTTTCTTCATGTTTTGATTTGGAATAGAATGTGTAGTGTTCCCAATGCATTTGTGTGTATGGAAATAAAAGCTATTAGAAGGATTTTGAGCTTTATTCACTTTTTTCAACACACTGCTATTATTTTGAACACAACTGTATATATGTATCGGATTGTTTTTTTTTACCTTTATTCCTTTTCCAGCACACACATTAATCTCTCCCATGTATTCCACCACCAACACACACACATTGGTCATTCCCTTGTACCCGCTCCTTCAGCACACATATTTGTTTCTTTTCTGTATCCTCCTTCCAGCAATCAAATCAGTCTTTCCCATATATCCCTCCTCCTGCTGTCATACCTTCACACTCATCTTCTGCCCATGCTGCCCCCTGTTATACTCTCCACACGGTTTCATCAGTACATACTGTCTCTGTCATACTCTCAACACCTTTCCTGGATATACTACCTGTAGTCATACAATGGCCAAACACGTAAAGATTTCTCCATAAATTCCCTCATCCATGCTAAACAGTGTCGATGGACAAACCTCCCAGTTTTGGATATTGTATTCTGACAACCAGCACTTATGGCTGTCAGAATACCCCATCAGTTACTGCAGCTGTTTGACTGTAGTCACAGTCCAGTTGACGTTTTTTCCCAACTCTTTAATATCTTAATAAAAGTTGTCGAACTCAATGGTGTTCGAAGGGCCAAACATGGCTCAAAATTTGGCCAATTCACCAGAATCAGATGAAACTTGAGATGTGTATAGACAGTTATACACGCCACACTCTCCCCTTGCATATATTGCCCATCAGCATACCCTCCACAATCCTCTCCTGCAAATGCCAACTGTTGTCATACCTTCCACACTCATCCTTCTACACTTATTTAATGCACATGCTGCCTGCTGTCATGCCCTCCACACACATATTTCCTGCACATATTACCTGCTGTCATATCCTCTTCACTCATCTTCTGCTCATACTGCCCCATGTCATACACTCCACACTTCTCTCTTAGACATACTACTGTCATACCCTCCACACTTATAGACTGCCTATCAGACATACTGCCTGCTGTCATACCCTCCACAATCATCTTCTGCTCATACTGCCCCATGTCATACTCTCCACATTTCTCTCTTAGACATACTGCTGTCATACCCTCCACACTTATAGACTGCCTATCAGACATACTGCCTGCTGTCATATCCTCCACACTCATCGTCTGCTCATACTGCCCCGTGTCATACACTCCACACTTCTCTCTTAGACATACTGCTGTCATACCCTCCACACCTATAGACTGCCTATCAGACATACTGCCTGCTGTCATATCCTCCACACTCCTCTTCTGCCCATACTGCCCCGTGTCATACTCTCCACATTTCTCTCTAAGACATACTGCTGTCATACCCTCCACACTCATAGACTGCCTATCAGACATATTACCTGCTGTCATACCCTCCACACTCATAGACTGCCTATCAGACATATTACTTGCTGTCATGCTCTCCACACTCTTAGACTGCTTATCAGACACACTGCCTGCTGTCATAACCTCTGCACACATCTCCTATACATACTCCCCCTGTTATATCTTCCACACTCATCTCCAGCACATACTGCCACTGTCATACCGCCAAAACTCATCTACTTCTATACTGCTCACTAAGACATTTCTACTTGTTATATTCCCAACTTTATCGCTCTGGAACATGTCCACTTTTGCTAATACTTATAAAAACAAATTGCAACATTTCAACCAAGCTCCAAAATTGGAAATCCTCCAAATGTCTAGGGCCAGGTGTGTTGGTAAGGTTAGCTGATTTATCGGCAGTTATAACAGCATGATTTGTATTAGTTTTGATGCTAATATGCCTCTAACATCAGGAAAGTAGGTTGCAATGCATTTTTGTTGTTTGGGGCCTAATACAGGCCATACATGGGCCGAATTCCGAAAGAATTTTCATTAGAAAAATCAGAAATTTTGTGCGTTTTGTAATCTGAAGGTGCCACCATTGATTTAGAAATTTGACCAACCAAGCCTTTAATTTAATTTAATGTTGCTACAGAAAATAATTTTTGTGGCCAAGAATTTTATTTCTTTCCATGTCACAGCTCATGCTCAATTCTTGTTCAATTACATTTCTCGCACGATTCCCCCATCATTGATTAGAAATGTGTTCGTTTTCAAAAACATTTCCAACATGCCCAATTACTCAAATTCGATGGTCACTCAAAAATCAGCCATTGCTATGGCCCACTAATGGTGCGAAATTTGAACTAATATTCTTAGAAAAGATTTTCTAAAGAAAATTCTTTCAGAATTCGACCCGTGTATGGCCGGCTAAAAGGTCAGACAAGCACATAGGAAGACTGATGCCCATATTGATTTAAGATTTCCAAAGCTGCATATATTTGTACACTCTACAAACCAAATCATATCCATGGAATTAATGTTTCACTAATCTCAGTCTTGATTTGGACTTACTGCTGTGCACTGCCTTGATGCTCAGTCCCCTTCTGTAAATATTGTGTGGAACTGCTCATATCTGATTCCCTTGGTTTGCAAAGGATTATTCATAGGTTACTCTTTCTGTAGATTTAGCCCTGGTTCACACTGAATGCAACTTTGAAATCGCTCTACTTCACTTGAAGTAGAACGATTTCAAAGCTTCAGATCAGTGCGATTTGTACCTCCAATTTCACTGTGGCTAGCAACTTCACTTAACAGGAATAAATGCAAGTTGGAATGAAATAAAAAAAAAAGTAGTAGTGCAGGAACTATTTTTTAAAATTGCACTACTTCGAATCGCACTGATTAGGACAATGCCATAGAAATACAATAGATGCGAGTTCAGGTATGATTTGCAAATCACATTTTGCACCTGAAGTCACACCGGTTCAGGGGTGGACTGACCATTTGGAAATTTGGGCACTGCCAGAGGGCCTGGGGTCAGTAGGGGGCCCCATGAGATGCCCCTGGTACCTTTTTCATAGGCTTTTTTGAGTTTGGGTAAGGACACAGGGGCCCCATGGTCCCCTATTGCCCGGGGGCCCCATGAGTTGTCAGTCCGCCCCTGCTCCGGTGTGAACCAGGGCTTAAAGTGTGTACATAGTGGGGGAGATTTACTGAAACTGGAGCAGTCAGAATCTGGTAAAGCTGTGCATGGTAGCCAATCAGCTTCTAACTGCAGCTTGTTCAATTAAGTTTTGACAATAAAACCTGAAAACTGATTGGTTTCTGTGCAGAGCTGCACCAGATTTTGCACTCTTGTGCTTTAGTAAATAACCCCCAGTGTCTGGAAAAAAATGTTACATTCTCATATACTGTTATTATCTCACTACATTCAATTAAAATATATAAACGTTTGAATATTTGTACTAATTACTAAAGCATTGTGACATGCTTTACAGTAGCCCAATCTAAAACTCACACCAGTTTTTTTTTTTTTTACTCAATGTAGAGATGAATGACTTCCTGCACTTTTGAACTTAGTTCATTTTTTTTTATTCTGAATTTTTTCAGTATTTAATGCTTTACTTCTACTGTTTTTAGTTTTGTGAAGAATCAAAAAGGTTAGCATTTAGTTGCTGTATCCCATTGTTTGTGATTTTTTTCCTGTTCTTGCTAGACCTAGATGATCCTTCCAACTGAGGCACAAGCATCAATAAAAACATCTGTTTTAGAAGAGTGGGTAAGGGCTAAAACATCTGCCTGGTTTTATTTCTACATTCATCCCTTTTGGGTAGACTTCCCCTCACTTCCTGTCCCAGAGACACCTTGTTTGTTAGAATGTGTCAAGGTGTCACCAGGACAAGAAGGGAGGGAAATCTCTATAGCCAGAATTGCTGTTACTGGACTTTGGGATTCTATAATGTTTTATTGCTAAAATTGTCTGAATGCAGTTCCCTTTTTACTTCACAGGACAGAGTTCTATGGACATTGGGCTCCTGATTCTCAAATTGAATACTGGGGAGATGTAGTCTGTGCAATGAGTCGTGCCATTACCATTGCTGACAAGGAAAGTATAAGATCCAGTGTGCTTAGAGGCAGGAGGAGCCCAGGAGGGGGCCATATAAAAACCCTGGAAAGAGCAGGGGCAGTTTGGAGATCTCTGCCAGCCAGTGTAGAAGGGAAGAACTTGCTAGAGAGAGAGAAAATACTGCTTAGTGACTTTAAGCTGTGTCACCAGCAGGCCTGCAGGTTCCTAGGAGGCACTTGTTAGCTGCAGATTGCTTGACTGAGACAGAGTGTGTAGCTGGCTGCTGTTATCAAATCCCTCACAGAGGCCTGTCATTCGTGCCGCAGGGTCTCGGGACATAGAATCCAGATTAGCTGCTTAATACTACTGCCACTCAGGATAGGACCCAGGATGCTGTTGTGCCTCAGGGTTCACCATCAGCCCCATCACCACAGGAAGCCACCTAGAATCAACTTCACTTTAAAGGGGTTATAGAAGCTTTCTACAACACATCAATAGGAGCTGGTAAATGCGTTATTGACTAATTAGCGACCTCTTTGTTGATTTTGTGAAAACTCTTGGGAAGACTTATCATCCTTTGCCTTTACTATTACTTCACAATTGTCTACTAGTGAGCACCACTATTACTGTTTGGCCAAAGTCTACACTGCAGAACATTAACCCCTTTGCTGGACCCTCCCACTTCATTGTTCCAAGGAACCTCTTATTCCCTAAGACTACTTCACTGAGTGCAGAAATACCCCATGTTGCATTTTTCATTAAGCGCACCAACACCTCCAAGGGCCCCAACCTAGCTGCTAAAAGACCAAATTTCAGGACTGTACATGGTGCACTAACTGCCGAGCACTGTCGCGTTCATTATATCACCAAACCCCTTTTACAAAGGACTAGGCTTAGCCCTCGCATTCCAAAAGTCCATTGGCAACCTAGCCCCTAGTTGTGTTGGTACCTGCTTGGTTGCATTTTGTAGCTGACATAGTGAGGAGAGTTACTGTTTACACTGGTCTGGTTTGAGTTTGCTGTGGTATTTAAAAGTAAATCCTCAGCATATTTTTCATTCTGCTAAATTTTCCACTGTTATATCTTGTTTACCTGATAATTACTTGACAATATACTCTGTTATTTGCTACAAGGTCTCAAGTTTAATTTCAGAGTGACACCAAGGTAGTAACAAAAAATATTACTTTATCTCTACTTAACACCTTCCTGCCCGGCCTATAGCAGATTGATGGCCGGGCGAGACAGTCCTTGTTGTGACTGGGTGTCATATGACGTCCTGTCAAAACGAGCCACGCAGCAGCGCGATCTATCGCCGGCTGTGTCCATGGGACACAGCCGATGACATATCACTATACCGGCCCATTGTCTGTGTCATGTGACCGCTGTAATCAATCCCAGCAGATCACATGTCAATTGTATACAATGGATGGCTTCCTGTCATGCCATCGATTGTATACATTTATGTTGTTAGCTGTGACTGGTCAAGGTAGTCACATGATACAGACAGCGCCAATCACAGCCCATCTGTATCATGTGATCAGCTTTGCCCAATCACAGCTAATCACAACAAAAGACTGAATGAATCAGTTTCATTCAGTAACAATGATTGCAAATATCAATGAAATACATTGGTATTAGCAATCATAATGTGTTAAAAAAAAATAAAAAATCCTGATTACTTGCCCAGAGTAGTTCAATGTTACTATGGTAACATTGTATTGCTTTGGTCACAGTGTGCTGAAAAATAAAAATAGTAAAATAAAGAAAAAATGCAATAAAAAACATTTGGAAAAAAAAAATACAAATTCAATTATTATTATTATTTTCACCAAAGAAATGTAGCAGAATACATTTTGACCTAAATGTATGAAGAAATGTTATTCATTTGCAAAAATTTTTTTTTGTTTTATTTAGCAAAAAATGAAAAACTCAGTGGTGATTAAATACCGCCAAAAGAAAGCTCTATTTGTGTGAAAAAAATTATTAAAATTTCATATGGGTACAGTGTTGCATAACCGCACAATTGTCATTCAAATTGTGACAGCGCTGAAAACTGGCCTGGGCAGGAAGGGGGTAAAAGTGCCCGGTATTGAAGTGGTCAAATGTAAATCCGAGGTGTCATGGGTGTTGAGGCACTTGTCACTTAAGAAAAGAGGACCTGACATAACCCACAGCTCTTGCGGGGGGGGGGGGGGGGGGTGGGTGGCGCTACATCTCCCCAACATAGACAAGCTTTATTGTTTTCTAAAATGTTAGTTCATGATCAGTACATGTTTGTTAGTGTAAGGATCCATGGTAGCTTGCAGTGCTTTGCTAAAGTCACAAAATTGAACTTCTGTGCAACTGGGTTCTGACAGTTGTCCTCTTCTTATCATCTCTGTTAAGTCTGACACCATTGTCATGAGTTTTGTTGGATCTGTCAAAGATGAGAAATGGGGAGATGTTGTCTATAACTATAATAATATAATGTAGACACATTTTTGACTGTCAATAAACAACCATAAATGTTAACGATAATGAAATAAAAAGTAAATGAAATAGGATGCGGAAGAGAAAATTCTTAATAGGGTGGAATAGGGCTTAGTTAAAATAAAACTCCAGCTAGAGCTTTTTAAAAATGTTTTGTATAGAGTAGAATGGGGTTAAACAATTTATCAGGTTTCTATTGTTGTGTTGGTCTCTTTTGAGGTTCTAATCCTTTCCCACTCTCATCCCACAACTCAATCAAAAATTGTATTGCTACTGCTATCAGTTTCACCTTTGCAGAGATCCCCATCTTAGTGATCCCACCATACTATAACAGAAAGTGAAGGAAATACTTCCCAAAACATACATACAGTGGGGCAAAAAAGTATTTAGTCAGCCACCAATTGTGCAAGTTCTCCCACTTAAAAAGATGAGAGAGGCCTGTAATTGGCATCATAGGTAGACCTCAACTATGAGAGACAAAATGAGAAAAAAATCCAGACAAATCACATTGGCTGATTTGGAAAGAATTTATTTGCAAATTATGGTGGAAAATAAGTATTTGGTCAATATCAAAAGTTCATCTCAATACTTTGTTATATATCCTTTGTTGGCAATGACAGAGGTCAAACGTTTCCTGTAAGTCTTCACAAGGTTGGCACACACTGTTGCTGGTATGTTGGCCCATTCCTCCATGCAGATCTCCTCTAGAGCAGTGATGTTTTGGGGCTGTCGCTGGGCAACACAGACTTTCAACTCCCTCCAAAGGTTTTCTATGGGGTTGAGATCTGGAGACTGGCTAGGCTACTCCAGGACCTTGAAATGCTTCTTACGAAGTCACTCCTTCGTTGCCCGGGCGGTATGTTTGGGGTCATTGTCATGTTGGAAGACCCAGCCACGTTTCATCTTCAATGCCCTTGCTGATGGAAGGAGGTTTGCACTCAAAATCTCACGATACATGGCCCCATTCATTCTGTCCTGTACATGGATCAGTCGTCCTGGTCCCTTTGCGGAGAAACAGCCCCAAAGCATGATGTTGCCACCCCCATGCTTCACAGTAGGTATGGTGTTCTTTGGATGCAACTCAGCATTCTCTTTCCTCCAAACACGACGAGTTGTGTTTCTACCAAACAGTTCTATTTTGGTTTCATCTGACCATATGACATTCTCCCAATCCTCTTCTGGATCATCCAAATGCTCTCTAGCAAACTTCAGACGGGCCCGGACATGTACTAGCTTAAGCAGGAGGCCACTTCTGGCACTCCAGGATCTGAGTCCCTGGCGGCGAAGTGTGTTACTGATGGTAGCCTTTGTTACGTTGGTCCCAGCTCTCTGCAGGTCATTCACTAGGTCCCCCCATGTGGTCCTGGGATTTTTGCTCACCGTTCTTGTGATCATTTTGACCCCACGGGGTGAGATCTTGCGTGGAGCCCCAGATCGAGGGAGATTATCAGTGGTCTTATATGTCTTCCATTTTCTAATTATTGCTCCCACATTTGATTTGTTCATACCAAGCTTCTTGCTTGGTGCAGGTCTACAATTTTGTTTCTGGTGTCCTTCGACAGCTCTTTGGTCTTCACCATAGTGGAGTTTGGAGTGTGACTGTTTGAGGTTGTGGACAGGTGTCTTTTATACTGATAACAAGTTCAAACAGGTGCCATTGATACAGGTAATGAGTGCAGGACAGAGGAGCCTCTTAAAGATGAAGGTACAGGTCTGTGAGAGCCAGAAATCTTGCTTGTTTGTAGGTGACCAAATACTTATTTTCACCATAATTTGCAAATAAATTCTTTCCAAATCAGCCAATGTGATTGTCTGGATTTGTTTTCTCATTTTGTCTCTCATAGTTGAGGTCTACCTATGATGCCAATAACAGGCCTCTCTCGTCTTTTTAAGTGGGAGAACTTGCACAATTGGTGGCTGACTAAATACTTTTTTGCCCCACCGTAAATAAAAACAATACAACATTTTTATTCCCTCACAACTCTATCAAAACAGAAAAAATTAGTTGTGACATTACTTTAAGCTGGCTAAACATGGTGAGAATTTTGTTCAAAAGTGTTTGTTTTCAAAACGTTTTTTTTATTTTCTAATGGGGATAAATCAATGATTATTTTGATCATAATGATGAGAAAAATTGAAAGCAAATTATGTCTGGTAGGGGACTCCAGATAAAGAGGATAGTGGCTGAACCGTTAAAGTCACTCTAACTTTCTTCTGTAAAAGTTGGACTATAACAATAATGAAATTGCCTTCATATAGTGAAATACGAACCAAGTAAGGGGCATTATACATAAATAAGTGACCACATCAATTCTTCGGTAAATAAAATTGGTAATTAAAATAATCTTTAGTTCATTGTGTCTATATTCATAACATACTGTATATGTCTCCAGTGCTCCTCTTCTCTTCCACCTCCACCAGAGGAATACATTTTCCACTAAAGTTTTTATTTGATTGGAATCATGAATTTTAAAAACATTACTACACTATATTGTTTCCTTTTTTTTTTTTATGGTGGAGTGGAGAAGTTCTAACCAGACACAGACATTCTTACCCTGTGAAAGCTGTGGAGGATTTAAAGCATATGGTGACCTTCTTTTTAACTAAAAGGATCATTGTGGTCTGGTGAGTGATTTATTCACATGAGCACATTTGGTGGAAAATGTATTCTTCTGGTGGAGGTGAAAGAGAAGAGCTCTACTGGAGACACACTATATTGCCAAAAGTATTGGGACGCCTGCCTTTACACACACATGAACTTTAATGGAATCCCAGTCTTAGTCCGTAGGGTTCAATATTGGGTTGGCCCATCCTTTGCAGCTAAAACGGCTTAAACTATTTTGGAAAGGCTGTCCACAAGATTTAGGAGTGTGTCTATGGGAAGGTTTGACCATTCTTCTAGGAGCGCATTTGTGAGGTCAGGCACTGATGTTGGACCAGAAGGTACAACATGCAGTCTTCACTCTAATTCATCCCAGAGGTGTTCTATTGGGTTGAGGTCAGGACTCTGTGTAGGCCAGTCAAGTTCCTCCACCCCAAACTCGCTCATCCACGTCTTTATGGACCTTGCTTTTTGCACTGGTGCACAGTCATGTTGGAACAGGAAGGGGCCATCCCCAAACTGTTCCCACAAAGTTAGAAGCATTAAATTGTCCAAAATGTCTTAGTGTGCTTCATTATATTATGAGCAATTTAATTATTGTGCACTTGTAGGGAGGCAGCATATTATTATTTATATCTTATTTTAATTAATCACAATACTTTTACACCATTGGCACGTAGACACGATTTATTTTACCTTACGTTAAGTGAACTTTAACAATACAGTAAGGCCAAGCACATCTTTTACAGGAAAACCTAAGATGTGTATGTGACTTCAGTTGCCTTTACTATATGTGTGGATCAACTGACATTCATATTCACGTTTTACTGAAGGCGCTGTTCGTTTCTACAGTTTTTTTTTTTTTTTAAACCAGTTGCGCAATCTAAATTGCATAGGTTTACTAACCTTTTCCTCATTCAGAATATTCTTTTTAGCACCAGTCAATAATAGAAATCATTGGGCACAGAGGAACAAAATTTTAGGTTTTCTATTTGTCTAGTTAACTGTGAGCTTTTAATAAAAGATGCACAAATAACTACAGTATGCACTTTTATTATCAGTTTTTTAATACAAAGCGGTATTTTGTGTGTTAAACTGAAATCTAGTAATACATTCACAACTTATTTTATTATAATACCCATCTGCTATCATTTTTACATGCAAAGTTCTTTACTCACCATGTAAATTGTTTCTTTTCCACTGTGTCATCCAAAAGCCGCAGATTTTGATGTTTTTAAATATGAGTGCTTTCTGAAAAAACAGAAGTAATTAAACAGAGAGACTATTGGCTGCATTTTTAATTTTTTCTAAAACTGTGTTATACTGCAAATAATATACAACAGTATTTGCCACCTATTCTTCAAATCAAGTCTACAAGAAAATCATCATCATCAATCAATGCCTACCTTTCTGGTCAAAACTGCTTTAGCCTGGCCATTTATGACAAACCCTTGTGCTACTGTGACTTTTATTTTAAAAACTGCTGTTAATTCTTCCACCTGAAGAGCATAAGAGCTGATTCACACATGTGCGGTGCGGGCGGAAGCACAGGTATCACAGCTAATTGACACAGTAGTTGTTCAGCAGTTCATGTCAGGTTTACATCAGGTTCAGGATTGGACTATGTCAGGATTTTATCCTGTTCACATATGTGTTGTGTAGAAATGGTTCCCATAGAAGTCAATAGCCTGTAATCCACACCTGAACCTGAAGGCACTGCTCAGAAATCGGATATGACTCTTTTTCAAACCGCACTGAATCTGCACCACCAGTGCACCAGACATATGTCAACAGGCACCATAGGAAGCAATGTTATTTCACATGTCATGTGGATTGGATGCGGTTCAAACCGCTTCCAATCTGCATATATGTGAACCGGCACTAAAGAGAATTGGGCATGTAGCTCCTCCTGAGGATCTGTCAACAGGAATTCATGCATTTGTGCCCAGGAGCGAAGTGACCATTTGGAAACTCTGCACCGCCCGAGGGCCCGGGGTCAGTAGGGGGCCCCATAAGATGCCCCTGGTACCTTTTTAATAGGCTTTTTTGAGTTTGGGCAAGGACACAGGGGCCCCATGATCCCCTATTGCCCGGGGGCCCCATGAGTTGTCAGTCCGCCCCTGTTTGTGCCCCCTCCTCCAACTTGATTCCTTTAATAGCTTGTGTGTAGAGCTAGCAGAAGATCCGCCTCTTTTACAATTAATGCAGAATGTTGCAGCTAGACAGCTAAGAAATGTACTCTTCTGTTTGTTCATTATCTTATGCTGGCCATACATTATGCACGTTTCTTGTACAATTTCTGTACAATATCCTTTAGATTTAGCTTCAACTACTGACTTTGAAGTGCAAGGACCTAGCTGATTGGATACAAAGTGAAAATCTTGTTTAGGTTTGACCTCATATTATACTGTTTTTGGTCAATCTAAAGGGAAACAAGAAAATTGTATAATGTCCAGCTTTAGTTTGACACATTAAAATGAATAATTTATTTAATGGTTGACCTGAAGATTGTTAAAACAGAGAATAACATATGCCCTCATAACTGAAGGACATACTAAATCTATATACCCCAAATTGTTCCTCCACAGGAGAAACCTGGATATTTCTAGATGCCACCCAAAATCGTTTGCTTTACATGCTTGTTCACATGTCTTCCTTACTCACATTATTTCCAGTCCCATGATGTGGAGTTTAGAGCACCAGTTGAGAAAAAGTATTGCAAGCCTTTTTGGAAGTGACAGAGAAACCACTAACATCATTAGTTTTAGCAGAGATATGCACCTTTTATGCATAAAATGTATTTAATTAAAGGCCAGCCTTGGAACAAGTGCTGCATTGTTTATTTGTATCACATGCTTTCCCACTCTAGTTAAACTATAGCATTACATTTCTATATTTAAAGAATATACAAGCCACAGATATCCCCTTGGTACTACTTATTGCATTTTAACACATAAAATCATCAAATATTTGAACCAACAAAGATGACCCAGTTGTCATTTGACCAGTCTGAGTACATCATAAAGTGCAGATTCATATTATGTATAATATCACAAATCTGCAGCATCACTTCCTTTTCTTTAAGTGTTAACAGTGGGCCCAATCTTGGTTTTCAATTTTAAACAGTTACTGTAAGCATCATCATTGAGATTTGGTCCAGTTACGGAATTTCCCAATGACCTGTAATGGTAAGGAAGGATTTTAAAAATATAAAAATGTGTCAAAAAATAGTCCATCCAAAATTAATTCTTTTAATTCTGGATGGACTATATTTTTTGACACATTTTTCACTGTTTTCTTATATTATTTGTCACTTTTGTAAGCACTGCACTTTTATGTATTTATATTTTTTTGCCCAGTATCAGGGTTTTTGTGTTCAGCTGCTTTATGTACACAGCTCAAAAAAATAAAAGGAACACTTTGAAAACACATCAGATCTCAATAGGGAAAAATATAATGCTGGAAATCTATACTGATATGGACTGGGTGATGTGTTGGGAACGTGAGGATGCTTCATCATTTGATGGAAATTAAAATTATTAACCTACAGAGGACTGAATTCAAAGACACCCCAAAAATCTAAGTAAAAAAATGATGTAGCAGGCTAGTCCATTCTGCTGAAATTTCATTGCAGCAACTCAAAATGCTACTCAGTAGTTTGTATGACCCCCACGTGCTTGTATGCATGCCTGACAATGTCAGGGCATGCTCCTAATGAGACGACAGATGGTGTCCTGAGGTATTTCCTCCCAGATCTGGACCAAGGCATCACTGAGCTCCTGGACAGTCTGAGGTGCAACCTGGCGGCGTCGGATAGACCAAAACATGATATCCCAGAGGTGTTCTATTGGATTTAGTTCAGTGAGCATGGGGGACATTCAATGGTATCAATTCCTTCATCCTCCAGGAACTGCCTGCATACTGTCGCCACATGAGGCTGGCCATTTTCGTGCACCAGGAGGAACCCAGGACCCACTGCCCCAGTGTAGGGTCTGACAATGGGTCCAAGGATTTCATCCCAATACCTAATGGCAGTCAGGGCGCCATTATCTAGCCTGTAGAGGTCTGTACGTGCCTCCATGGATATTCCTCCCCAGAGCATCACTGACCTACCACCACAACAGTCATGCTGAACGATGTTACAGGTAGCATAACATTCTCCACGGCTTCTCCAGACCCTTTCACATCTGTCACATGTTCTCAGAGTGAACCTGCTCTCATCTGTGAAAAGCACAGGGTGCCAGTGCCGGACCTACCAATTCTGGTGTACAATGGCAAATGTCAATTGAGCTGTACGGTGCCAGGCAGTGAGCACAGGGCCCACTAGAGGACATCAGGCCCTCACGCCACCCATGAAGTCTGTTTCTGATTGTTTGGTCAGAGACATTCACACCAGTGGCTGGCTGGAGGTCATTTTGTAGGGCTCTGGCAGTTCTCATCCTGTTCCTCCTTGCAAAAAGATACCAATCCTCCTGATGGGTTAAGGACCCGCTACGCCCCTGTCCAACTCTCCTAGAGTAACTGTGCTGGGAGACACAGCAAACCTTCTGGCAATGGCATGTATTGATATGCCATCCTGAATGAGTTGGACTGCCTGTGCAACCTCTGTAGGGTCCAGGTATCGGCTCATGCTACCAGTAGTGACACTGACCCTAGCCAAATGCAAAACTAGTGAAAGACAGCCAGAAAAGACGAGTAGTGAAAAAATGTCAGTGGCCTCCACCTGTAAAACCATTCTTGTTTTGGGGGTAGTCTCATTGTTGCCCATCTAGTGTGCCTGTTGTTAATTTCATTAACACAAAGCAGCTGAAACTGATTAACAACCTCTTCTGCTACTTATCTGACCAGATCAATATCCCAGGAGATTAATTGACTTGATGCTATATTCTGAATAAAAAGTGTTCCTGTAATTTTTTTGAGCAGTGTGTGTGTGTATGTGTATGTATATATATATAAAATTATAATTTTTTTATTAATTACAGGTACTTATATAGTGCCATCAATTTTACACACACACACACACACATATATATATATATATATATATATATATATATATATATTGTACATTCTCAGTCACTGAGCTTGAGGAGCTTACAAATTAAGGTAACTAACTTACATTCATATGTACACATACTAGGGCCAATTTCGACAACAGCTAATTAACCTACCAGTATGTCTTTGGAGTCTGTGTGGAAACTAGAGTACCTAGGGCCTAGAGGAAACATACACAGGTGCAGGGAGAATATGCAAACTCCATGCAGATAGTGTCATGGTTGGGATTTGAACTGACGACCCTTGTGCTGCTAGGCGGAAGGGTTGACCACTTAGCCACTGTGCTGCCCTACTATACATAGTTTCCTATTCTGGTTCTCCTGCAACCCCCGAATAATCTCCCACTCCCATGTCATTTTACAACACTGCACAGGTGGCATGTAATTTCTGATAGCATTTTAAGTGCTGTTAAAGTAGATTATTCCCTAATATGGCCATGTGGTTTAAGAATATCTTCTACTTTTTATGTACCCTTGCATGAACTAGGTAAATTTCACAGATTTCCAAAATTCATAATGCATAATTTAAGAATGAATGAGACAAAATGTAGACAGCATCAATATAGCAGATGTTTCTATTAGTGCCTTGAGAGTGACTAAAGAGAAATATATGTCAAGCTCTGGGGGGGCCTGCATCTGGTATGTCAGATAATTAATGTATTTATAATAGAAAGTTATTAAAATTTATGATGAGGTTCAGCACACTGTAAGACGACCTCTGTTTAATATTCTTGACTGCCTGACCTTAACCCAAAATGGAGCACTGATTACTTTCAAACACTTACAGCAGGTAAAGGTGTGGGCTTTCTTGACATTCCTCCATATGTGACCATAGTGCTTCCATCCCTTAGGAAAAATACAAGTTAGACAACTAAGCATGTTCTGAATTGCTAATAATTGCTATTATAAAAGTTAATGATAAAAGTTAGTTATAAAAGTTAATTAGTTGTTGCTTCATAAGCATCCTTAAACTTTGAACTTAACATAAATTAGAAATTTTCCTATTCATTACTTTCCTAAATAGTATAAATACACACGGATAAAATGTATTGGATTTTCTAGAAAAATATATTTCTGGAACTGTTCTCCTATGTATTCTGGAACATCATGATGGTTTCTGTTGATAAACAGAATTCATAAGAGCTTTGTTATATTACTGCTAATGTCTTGCACCATCAGAATGCCCCTATGCAATCTGACGGAAAAAAAAGAACAGGAGTTATACAAACATGTCTCTTTTGTTATAAAGTTATAATGGCGTTAATCCAATAATATGTGTTTGATCTTATGAACAAATGGAGACTAATAAATGATGGTGCGACATGTCTTAGAGGTCTATTTAAAAGAGTTTTCATTTTTCGCACAACTTTCACCAATTTAGATTTTTTTTTCAGTGGCATACAAAGAGAAAAATGTGTGAATCCTGTGTAAGGCTTGTATTAAAACATTTTTAAATAAATCCCATAAAGTGGGAATACAAATAGACTTTTTATTAATTTTACCAGGAAGTCAAATGAAAAAAATGACCCCATAGATCTCCATATCCTTGTTAGTGATGTGGATGTAGGTATCTCCTCCCCTTTGCTTTTGTATTCTGACTGCAAGGAACTCGCCCACTCCTTCCCATCAGAATACACAGTCAGCAACTGCTGAATGAATGCTGGTTTTCTAGCAGGATGGTTCGACAGAAGCCTGTGCACAGTCTGCTTCTGCTCCAACGTCCCATTGCAGGCTGGTAACAGATAGACATTGCCACTGCATCCCTTATCTGTAGCAGAGAAGTGATGTCATTGACCTGCAAGATGTGTAAATCTCAGAACTGAATAGAGAGAAATACAAATGTTTTCCAAGTTTTCAGCTTTAACCATGAAAACACACCAAAAATAATGCAAAACTCAAAAAACCCCAACCTAATAATGGTACACTAGTCATTTCCAAAACTGGAAAATTGAATACCAGTGTAACAGCTATAATTAGGTCATTTTCTCGACAATCTTTCATGAATAAAGACAATAAACAAAACTGTAAACGTGAACAAAAAAGGAATTCTCAACAGTTAAAATAAACTTGATTCAAACTCTTTTGTAGAGACTAGTGGTCTCCAAACTGCAGTCCTTTGCTTGCTTTTATGACCTTTGGGTCATTATTCCCCTCGCTATCAACATAGTTCCTGCTACTGACATCAACAATGGGGCATAGTTCCTGCCACCGACACCAACGATGGGACAATATTCCTCCCATTGATACCAATGATGGGGCACTTTTCCTTTCACTATGATGGGCACTCATTCTACACACTGACACCAATGATGGTGCACTATTCCTCCCACTGACCCCATCAATGGTGAACTACTCCTCCCTTTGACTCCATTGATGGAGCACTATTCCTTCACTGACATCGATGGGGCACTATTCTTCCCACTGACAGTAACGATGGGATACTACACCTCCCACTGATACCAATGATAGGCATTGTATATTCCCTCTGACATCAGGACACTACTCCCACTGGCCACAGTCTGGCCCCTCTAAAGCCTGAAGGACAGTAAACTGGCCCTTTGTTTGGAAAATTTGGAGACCCCTGCAATAGACTATATAAGCTGCATCTGGTGATCAACAATGTAAGCTGTCAGGGTACACCTTACATGCAGTCATGTCCTGAAATGCTTATGTTAATAGTAAATTTCTGAAAGATGTTTGAAAATCCACAGACATGATGCTGTTTCCACGTGGCAGTGCATGGAAAAATGGAGTAGAGGGTGTATATGTGTTGGACAACCATGAAGGGTAGAGACTTGATTGAAGGTGGCGGTGATGGTGGTGGGGGGTCTCTGGGGAGTAATGAATGGAGTTATTGCTATAGAATAGCATATGCAGAAAGGTTCCACATACTGATCTTTTCTTTTTGGTACTTATCATTATTATTGCTGTTGTACTTGGGTGCTTGACATAGAAAAGCAGCAGTCGGGTAGTTTATGGGCAGTTCAACTGGTAATTCCGCACTATTAATTGGTATATTAATGTACACTAGCATTGCAATGTATGCATCCCCTCAGGGACAAATTTATATTTAGCCACAGTAGGCATGCACTAAGATCAGTAACTGGCCAAATCATCAGGCAGAGAGTAAATGTAACTTTCAATTTGCTAAACATTTGTAAAGTTACATTCAGTGATGGAAAACAGTTTCAATGGCAAAGAGCATCTACACACTGCAGAATAATACAAAACAGACTAAGAAAGCAGCAAAAACATCGACTCTTTGTGGCAATGACTCAATAAGGGTAACATTTATCTGCAAAGCATAGTCTCTATAAGACTATATGGCAACAGAGAGTTATGCTGAGAATTGCTAGTTTAGTAAAACAGCAGAAAACACAGCTACTTGTGATTATCCTCATAAACAGTGTTCCTCACAGTGAAGTTCAGGGTAGCTCTGGTAACATGTTAGCTGGAGGGATCAAAGGCCTAAGGACAAAAATCCATCCACTGGAACTGTGATCTGGTTGCAATCAGGAAAATGCTGAGAATCCTGGGAGTTATAGCTTGAGACTGCAGCCATATAATAGGAGGAATCAACTTCTTACACTACAGATTCAAATAAGCACTGTGCAGTAGTTTTTGCAAAGTAAAGTTTTTCTCTTTCACCAAGGCAATTAAAGAGAGAGCACCTCTGTCTGGATATTTACCTGCCAGTGGGAGACCATACCAGCAGAGATTCGAGAGTGAGGCTGAGGACGAGTACACCTGGGGGCAGCGAGACCAAAGCATCCACTCACCCACTGCTTCCTCTGCTTCCCAGTCCACCAAAGACTTTCAAGGAGAGACCGAGGGGGCCCACCTTCTACCATGAGAGGTTACCACAGCATCTTGGGGACTAGTGCTAGGGGCTATTTTCCTATTGCTGATACTGCTAGAAGGGACTGAGTCACTCAGAGCAGTACACCAAGTGTACCCAATCCATTCTGCACCCATACTGTGCTCTTTACCACACTTATTCCAAACCTAGACTGCATCTATACCAACCCTATACCACATTATGCCAAACCTTCCATGCATCTGAACCACATCTATCTTGCACCTGCGCTGAGACTATACTGTACCTATACTGCATGCAGGTTAACTGGGACTGTTGTTAAATGAACCAAAGCTCTTAAAGGGCCCCAACAATAGCCGTCAGAAGTATATCTCAAAGGACTGCACTTCCAATAATAATTTTGTTCCCCTATCCCCTAATCACCCTTTTTTTTGGAAAGTGCATACCCAGTTAGGGCTAGAATTGTCACCATAAATGCACTCTGCACTATAGTTCCAGCACTCGCTACAGCCAAATGTCATCTCACGCCTAGTTCCCACTGTTAAGCAGTTTGTATGCTAAACTGTGTTATTACCATTGTTAAACCTTTTTATCCTTGCCTAGTTACCAACCTCATTGGGTAACAATATATTACGTCTGCCTTTACTACCTGGTTTGGTGGCTGTTTTCTTTGATGTAGCACTACTATTAGGTGATAAAATATTACTTACCAGGGGCAGACTGACAACTCATGGGGCCTCCGGGCAATAGGGGATCTTGAAGCCCCGTGTCCTTGCCCAAACTCAAAAAAGCCTATGAAAAAGGTACCAGGGGCATCTCATAGGGCCCCCTACTGACCCCAGGCCCTCGGGCAATGCCCGAGTTTCCAAATGGTCAGTCCGCCCCTGTTACTTACAGTGAATTCCTGTAAAATTGTATGTTTGTACACTGAACCTGGTGTGCTAGAGGGGCTGAGGTTCTTAAGAAGGTTGAGGCAAAGAACAGAGGTCCCATCCTAATCAGCGGCACCTGCAGTAGTAGTGCTACATGTGAAAATCGTTTGCAGATACTATTTTACCTTTTGCAGCTGCCACTTTCCTGTTTTGAAAATGTCTATGACCATTCTGTGAAATTCTCCATGTTTTTTCCAAACGTGTTATAACCTAGATTAACACTGGAAATTAACACTGATCTGCTGTTTAAATAAAAAGTGATGTGGACCAAATGCTAAAAGTAAGCAAATGTGACAAAACAGGAGGTGCAAAGCAAAGTGACAATTTTATTACATTAAATGAGATGTTATGATAAATCTGCCATTATGATAAATTCTATTTCTACAACAGATTAGCAAACAATGTCACTTTAACGGATGCAGCTGTGACTTTATTGAGAAATGTCCCCTAATGTATTTTTAAAATGATAAGTAAACCTTTCAAACCTTTTAAACTCAATTCAATTTCTTCTGGAATTCCATGTCTACAGAATAATTCCTTTTCAATCTATCAATAACAATGGATGAGATTTATTTTTTTTCAAAATGTTCTATTAAAACCTTTACTGTACGTATTCACAGACAGAATGTCCACATAATGGTTACACAGGGACTGTTCATAAAATATGAAATGCATGTCCTTGGAGTCTGAATGAGGACTGCTTGATGTGTACACATTCATAAAGACTTGAGTTCAGACTATAAACATAGGTGTGAATATATCTGTGGTGTATTTGACGTATTTTATCAAAAGATTGTGATTTACAATTTAGATATACTTTATGGCAAGCATGACACACAGAGACTGCCACGTGCAGGTGCCCTAGATATTTCAAAAGGAATACAGTACTAAAAAGTCATAAAAGACTAAGAAATAAATATAGTCCTCTGTTTGCCTTCTGGACACCCATTGCTCTGCTTTTGTGTGTTGTTCAACTAGTTCAGCTTGTCTTTTGTTCTTTAGGGCTATACTAAACATTAACTTTTTTAAACTGGCTGATAATGGCAAACAGTCATGCAGTTGCCTTCCACTTCTCAAGCAAGTTTAGGAGCATGAGCTCTATGTCAGAGCAGCAATCATGGCACTGTACTTGTTTTTTAAACGTAATGTATACTTTATGCTCAAGGTAAATAATACTTACTTGAGATGGCAGAAAAGATTTCCAGCACTGCTTCCACCTACACAGTTGAGTGCTAATTTAGGCCTTTCAACTACCTGGAAGAAATAAGTGAAAGCACGGGCAGCTTGATTTGTGTTACCACAATACACTGTATATTGATAATGACTTCATACAGTCATGGGTGATTACTAGGTACAAGCATAAAAAAATATACAGACACAGCAGAGCTTTTGCAATTTCAGAGGGCATTTAGAACATTCACAGGGAGAAATTGTTCTCAAAGGATTACCTTAAAGAGATTTGCCATTTCTTCATTCTGTAGCATATCCTCAGTAATAACATAGTTAGCACCAAGTAACTGCAGTTTCTTTATTGTTTCACTCAAGTTAGATCTTTAAAAATAAAAAAAATGTGTAAAAATAAGTAAAAGTTAAAATCCAGTAAACTTGACCTGCAGACTTTCACTGGTAGCAAAAATTGTGGTCACAGTGGTTGGGCACAGAAGGGACAGAGGGTCTACACTTTAACCACTTGTTACTATACTTTCCGTCTTCCCATTAGAGATGAGCAACATTCTGAAAAGGTTGATCAGTTGTGGTTCAACCACACTTCTTAAAACTTTAAAAAACATAAAAATTCTGAAATTCAGAATTTTGTCACAGTGGTTGGGCACAGAAGGGACAGAGGGTCTACACTTTAACCACTTGTTCCTATACTTTCCGTCTTCCCATTAGAAATGAGCAACATTCTGAAAAGGTTAATCAGTTGTGGTTCAACCACACTTCTTAAAACTTTAAAAAACATAAAAATTCTGAAATTCAGAAGCAAAACTCCTTTCGAAGCCAGTGGTAATCTAAACCAGGCAGCACATGATGCAAACTATGCAGAATTTCTTGGCTAAATCATGACAGTCCTGGGGGTGCAAGGGTACTCACTCAGATTCCTGTATTGCTGGTGGGTTGGTGGCTGCTACCGGACCTTTTAGCTGGGCCGCTCCTTCACTACCACACAGGTGGTCCTCACGCTGGGGGCCAGTGAAACTCTGACCTTTGTTCCTTTCCAGCTCCAGACCTGCAGGTAGGCTCCATCCCACTGGGCCTCCTTGCAGCCTCCTGCTTTCAGACTCATATCCTCCTCCCTGTCTTCCACCCAAACTCTCCCACAGCTGGGCAGGCTCCAACACTTTTAAGGGTGTCCCGACCCCTTGCCAAACCTTCTGTTGGGGATTGGCTAGGATCCCTTAAGAGTGTAAGCCAGCCACTCCTCAGATCCACCCACTGCCTCTAGGTCTTTCTCCAAAGCCCTAGAGCAAAAGAAAATTCCAGAGGAGCCAGCCTGCAGAGCCTCTCAGCTCCTGACCACAATTAGACCTTCTGGCTATTACATCCGTGCTGCTACTCAAACCTCCTCTCTGTTAATCAGGACTCTAGCTCCCCCTAGCAAACTAGGAGGGTGGTACAGATGATTGAAAGAATAGAAAAGACTTATAGCATCTATCTAGGTAACTATAAAGCAAGGGGCTACATTTTTTCAGGTACTTCTAAAGAGGAGTTAACAAGTCACAAGTTTGTACTGCAAGGGAGATCCACGGTGGCAGCAAGGAGCTCATTGTGCAAACCTGTGGCTATAAACCTTGCCAGAATACCTACCCATTTGGTGGTAAAGGAAGGTATTTTTTTTACATGATACCTCCAATTTTTAACTCAAACTTTGAGTTGCAGCATCCCAGGTGAATGGTTTCAGATCAGCTGGGATGTAAATAGTTTATGTACCTCAATAGATTATACTAGGAGGGTAATAGCAGTTGAAAGTTTATTAGAAGGGAGTTCAGGATATTTGAGTGCACAAATTAAAATTTTGTTGTCTTTACTGAGAATTGTACTGGGATTTTTTTCACAACTTTATTTCTTTATAAAGAGGATTCAGAGGAGCAATGATGAGATCACCTCTCTCCCCTCCCCCATATACAAATGCATTCATTGATATGACTGACTGTGAGTACATATAATATGTACACCAGATTTATTTAAGAAAAATTGTACCAATGGAAATGGAGTAGAATAGTGATTTTCTTCTTCAGTTATTGCTGAACATTAGTTTCCATCCCCCCACATTGTTCCAATCCATGCCTAAAGCCAGCTGATTTTCAATGTATGGACAGGCTGGTTATACACCAACTGGTTTCTGGTCTACCAAATGACGTCTGTACAACCAGCCTGTTGCAAAATGTCCTCACGATCAGTGCCACAGGCTATAGCCAGCAGTGCTGATCAGTGTATCCTGACCAGGGGCGGACTGACCATTTGAAAACTGCCCGAGGGCCTGGGGTCAGTAGGGGGCCCCATGAGATGCCCCTGATACCTTTTTCATAGGCTTTTTTGAGTTTGGGCAAGGACACAGGGGCCCCATGATCCCCTATTGCCCGGGGGCCCCATGAGTTGCCAGTCCGCCCCTGATCCTGACAGAGGGGAAGTCTCTCTGCTGTCAGAATGCAATAACTCATGGAGAGGATTCTCCCATCTACCTCAAATGTGTAGATGGAGGAATCAAGTCATTTTTTTTTTGTTACGTTCAACCGGCTGGTTGAATAAAAAAAATATAACATGTATAGGCTGCTTACTCAATTTAAGAGAGTAGAGCCTATTGTGAGTGAGCCTAACATAAGAAAGATGACATTAGATAAGATGGAACTAAGAAAACTAGAGGTTATCCTTCATCAATGTTACCAATAGAAAAGGAAACATTCTGAAGAAAGGAGATGCTTTATCACAGACTAGTGGACACATTCAAGGCAAACGTATTCTATTTGTGATTCATCATTAATACTCTTGTAAAATGTATAACATTATAGAAAAAAAATACTGGTGGAGTCACCATATTTTAGAGGAGTTTCAATTACCTCCTTTACAATCCAATCATAAAGGTACATCTTTAAGTGCCCATTCGCACCTTGCAACTCATGTACGCATGTTGTGACATACATTAAGGCAGCCCATTCATTTTAAAAGAGACATGTGTTGTGAATTCTCTGATAAGCTCATTTAAGAATATAAGCCCCTCAAAAAATGTTCTGTTTCCTCTGGTGGTCTCTTGCAAACCCTATTTTTCTGAACACACAAGAGCAGACAAAAATGTACATGTGGCATTTTTGATGCAGTGTTCCAGAGCATGTGCTAGCCTGTTATCATGCATCGTGGTGTGCTGCAGTGCATGGGTGTTGGAACGTTCCCACAGAATTCGTTTTACCCATCCTCACATTGCAAAATCAATCATGATTTCTGGATAAAGGTGAACTTTGGGTTAAGGTTGAACATGAGTACAACCCAAAACCAAGCCAGTTTGTAGTTTTACAAATGGTAAAAAATCAGCCATAATTGGCCAGTTCACCTGCTCGGACCCCTGGTGTGTTACTGTCACTAAATGACAGCTCCTGGGATGGTTTACCTATAAAAGGGAAATGCCATTTAGCATGAATAGTTAATCTGTCACAAAAAAAAGCAGTTTCCTAGCCACAGGATTACATTGTATATCTCCTTAACTTCCCATACAGCATTACAGCATATCTCAAGCATGGTATTTGAAGGACTGGTATTTTAAATGTTGGCCTTTGCTGCATTGAAAGACCCTCTCCCGCTGAATGGTAATTTAAAAATAAAAAGCTTTGCATATGGTATATGTCCGTTATGGCAATGATGAGACACTCACACACTTTTTTTTTTAACAACTTGCATATTAGCCTTAAAGTGTTACTAAACCCAGGACTCTGCATTCACTATATCTGGTCTCCCACAGTAAACACAACATGGAAATGCATTTACGGTATTTTAGTAAATATATTTATTTTAGGAAAAATAAACTGCTCAATACCTTTTCTCATCAGCAGTTACAGCAGTCTTGTGACTTCTATCAGTGTCCAGCAGAGCAATGGTTACAGCTTGCAGGGGGAGTTTTCATTTCCCCTTGATTGTCCTATGAGGTTGCCAAACCCCTAACCTCTGTCTGGACACTGCTGTTTGGCCCTGTGCTGATCACATGCACTCTCCCCCCCAAAAAAACAAACTCTCTAGCAAAATGCACCAAACTGAACTAGTGCAGCTTGCCCCAAGGCTCTGTGCTATCAGCAGATGGATTGGGGACTGTAGAAGAAGGGAAGGATCAGAGAATACAGGATCAAACAGCCTTTTTACCAAATTCAGAGGATTAACCCCCTAGGTTCCACAGTGAGTATAACAAGCATGCTTTACTGCATATACAGACTGATTTTACTGTTGTGGGTTTAGTAACACTTTTTTAAAAAAAGCCAGAAGAAACAGCAAAATTTGGCTCCCATAAACATCAACAGGGTTCTGTAACCTACGTTGCAGGACTTATTGCTGTGTTTACTGAACCTAATGTGAACCAAATTTTTGGTTAACTCATTCCTATTCATGGATATCATACGTGGCAACATTTTTCATTTATCTAATCAAATGTTCATGTAAATACTCCATTCCATGTCCACAAATGGAGTTACCCATTGGGGAGACATTTAGTGCAACATGAGCAGTGTTGTTCAACCAAGTTTTATGATGATTGACTGTTTTCCCAAACCTCATAGTTAATTCTCAAGGGGCGGGAAGTGAAGGGGCACTTTGAGGTGGACATCTGAAACTGAAAGGGTTGAATAGCGATCTTGATATGCATTTATTTATATTTCATATTTAACTTGTTATAATATTAGTTTTCCTTGTGTTTTTTTTAAGTGTTACTGCTCTTGTTTAATTTGATGATGACTTATCCAGAATTTTTGTTTACACTCTTCTTTATATTAATTTAATGTAGTGTATTGTATACACATTAACATGGTTACTAAGGTTTCTTCATTCATGCGTGATGCCACTTCCTGTTGTTACGCATATATGGACCTTGAATGTTATATGCCTGTGTCTAAGAAATGATCATTTGCTTCAAAACTGTACATAACTTAGCTAATTGGATACAAATAAATACACAAGATGCTTTAGTTATGTCTGGTGTGCTAAGGGATTACATTATCAGTGTCAACAAAGCTGGTATGAATTAATTAATGTGTTTCCTATGCTGTGATTGGCCCACAGCTATTACATGGTTCCTGGGCCAATCACTACACCCCATGTGAGCTATAGCCAATCACTAGTGATCACAGCTGTCATGAATGTAATCCATAATCTTCATTGCAACAGCAAACAAAGTATAAAAAAAAATAATCCCTGATCACCTCCTCAGAGTAGTACAGTGTTACTATGGTACTACTCTGATGAAAGTATGTTAATTAAATTATAATTTTTTTTTTTTCTTAACATGCTGTCACCAGTCAGTGTTCCTGATCACCACCACATCAGTCATATGATAATGCTGTACTGCATTGGTGACA